GCTCCCGAGGTTGTCAATCCGGCCACCAGAAGCGCATCGGGATGCGTTGGTGTAGAGCCGGTACAGAGGACAGAAAGGCGAGAAAAATCGAGCGAAAGATGTAACGAACGAGCGCTAAGTAGAAAAGAAACAAGTTTATTGTAGTCGACCTCACGAGGGTTAGGTGTAAGCCACTTGGAGAACTTCCTGAAAAGTATCGCTACTCTATCAGGATGTCCAAAAATGAATGTGAAAAAGACCGAAAAAAGTCGGAAACCAGTTTTCACACTGATTAGAACAGATGCTACACTTGATCTTAGCTAAAAGCCGAGAAGGTATGGCTTAAAAGCAATACAGAGGACAGAATGCAACACTTTCGATACAATAGCGAATGTTGACGATAGGAATTTGAATGTTACATTAAATTCGAAATGCGAAAGTGATATTTCAAACAATGAAATAGAGCAACAAATGCTAGTAATCTAACGCCAGTTTTTGGTGGTGCACGCGTGTATGTTGATAGTGTGTGTACGCTGTGAATGATGTAACGTAATCATGACAATACAACATACAAAAGCTGTTGAAAAGGTAAATGTAAGTTGGCCTCACGGGAGAAAGGTGTAAGCCCCCGGAGACCGCCCCGTCTTAGTAGTAAGCTACTTCGACAGGATGTCCAAAAATGAATGTGAAAAAGACCGACAAAAGTCGGAAACCAGTTTTCACGCTGATAAGAACAGATAAGTTTGTTTAGATTACCAGTTAGTAACCTCTCCGCGATTATAAAGTTTCCTAATACGAATATCACTAATTTGATGGTGATTGTGTCTACCTGGGTTCGAAGGACGGTTTCCTACGGGGATAGTGTCCTGTCGGCCAAAATACCAGCTTATCGCTTTTGGCGGAAGGTGATGCTTCTTGTGCAGTTGCATGGAAAGTTCATTTGTATTCAGGTGTGTCATTGTTTGTACTAGTAAGTAATTAGTACAAGTATGGTAGGAAAGCTGCACGATGAAATGACAACGTTCAGTTGCTCAGTCGGGAAGGCGTGGCAGCGTATCCCAGAGGGATTTGTTCGATCCCCTGAGGGGACTAGTTACAAAGTTAATCCTTCGGGTCCTGGTGTCTAGGGTTCATCAGCACTGTCCTGCCAGATAGTTACGTCCCCTACTTTTGCGACAGGGGCATGAACACAACGTGTGATTGGTCAATTAGAATTGATCGGTCTGCAGGTGTGGGCCTGAATAATAATTGGACAGCTGAGACGACTGGCAACGAAGCGCCAACGATCCAATGGTAGCAAGAATGAGACTAACGGTAGGAAAAGGTAAACACACAATGTTATTTACTTTTGGTTTTACTTCTTCGACCACAAGTAACTTCTTTTGAACGCTCACGACAAACTAGAAATTCAACAGGTTATGAGCCCAAGCGTTAAGATTGCTCCCAAAATGGAATTATTTAACGGAACAAACTACACGTTGTGGGCGTTCAAGATGAAGATGTTCATCACGTCTAAGGGACAATGGGAGGCAGTGAATGGTGGAGCGGCCGTCACAGCATCTCAGGAGTAGCAGGCGCACGCTGCGATCGTGTTGAACCTGAGCGACGCACAGATTATGCACGTCGTTTGCACGGAGAATGCGCGCGATGCATGGTCAGCTCCCGCTCGAGTTCATCGGACTCACGACATGGCAAGTCGGCTGTGGCTAAAGGAAAACTTTGCGTCTTTCAAGTACACTTCGCCTGAAATGACATCTCACGTCATTAAGCTGGATCAATTGGTGCTGAAGATGAATGGAGCTGAGTGTGGGCCGAGCGGAATGTATATGTGCGCAACCATGCTGCGCAGCATTTCGGCATCGTATGAAAGTCTGGTTCAAGCGTTTTGTACGAGTGTGACGACATTTAGGTTCACAGACCTCGTGAAAAAATCATAGTCGAAGAGGTACGCAAGAAAGACTCGTCGCGAATCAAAAAAAAAACGGCAGCGTTGCACATCGGCAAGCGCATAGACAAGAGTAGGCCTACAAAGAAGAATGGCGGTCAGCGCAAGAAAGGGTCGAATGTTCAGTGCTTCGAGTGCGGGAAGCGCGGGCACTTCGCACGCGACTGTTGGCCGAAGCCGTCAGGTGGTAACGAGGTGCACGAAAATCACTATAAAGTTGCATTTAACGTGAGTGAAGATAGCACGAGCGACTGCTAGGTAGTGGACAGCGGCGCGACAGATCACATGTGTCAGGCACGATTTTTTTGTCGAATACGCAGAGATGACGTCGGTACGGAATGTGCTGAGCGCCAAGAATAGTTCGTGTTTAAAGGGGCTTGGACGGGGCACAGTGGTCTTACGAGCTTGGAACGGCATATCGTTGATAAACACGAAACTAGAAAATTCACTCCATGTGCAAGACCTCAGCAAGAACCTATTTCGTTGACGGCAGCAACCGCGCGCGGGATAACGATCGAGATTGCAAGCAATGACTGCATCGTCAAGAAAAGCGGACGACCCGTTGCGACAGGCTCACGGCGCGGTATGCTTCTTCTACTCAATGTTGAAGCCAACTCCGAGTGCCACGTGGTAGAGGGCTAAGCAGAACTGTGGCATCGCCGACTAGGACCTGTGTCTTACTCTACTGTGAACAAGCTAATGAAGCAAGGCTGTACTAACGGCGACTGCATCGATCCGAGTGTCGTTTGTGACGTATGCGCAACAGCCAAGCAAGTGCGCAAGACATTTAACAGCAACGAAGCAGATACCGCAGCAAGGAAGAGTCACCGCGAAGACTCGGTAGTGTGTTCGGATGTTTTAGGGCCTGTGTCACAGGCTTCCAAGTCGGGCTACCGCTACGTCGTGACCTTCGTGATGATGAAGAGTCTCTTTGTGATGGTTTATCCGCTGCGAAAGTAATGTCAGGTCATCGAGGTTTTATAAAGTACTATCATGGTATCAAGCTCGAATGCGACATCGGCGTGAAGGTACTCCGCAGTGATAATGGCGGAGAGTATCGAAATGATGACATGAACCGATTTTGTAGGCAAAAAAAGATCAAGCAAAAATATACCGCACCATGTAATCCAGAGCAGAGTGGCATAGCAGAGCGCTTGAAAATTGGTAGAAATGACACGCTGCATGCTTAGCGACGCCAACGTAGATAAGGCATACTGGTGTGAGGCAATGTTGACTGCTGTAGACATCTGTAATGTAGTACCTCATGCGTCAAGTTCGAAGGCAAGTCCGTTCGAAATTTTGTTCAAGCGCAAGCCACAGATCGATTCTATGCGGGTGTTTGGTAGTCTATGCTAGGCGCACGTGGCCAAGGTAAAGAGAGCCAAGCTAGACGGATCAGGTGTGCGCTGTTTACTACTCGGCTACTCTGAACAGCACAAGGCCTATCGACTTCTTAATGCATGCACATGGGAGATGGTGATAGTTCGCAGCGTGACGTTCGCCAAGCATGCAATAATCAAAGCAAGCAGAAACATCACACTAAATGTGATCGAAGTTTTGGATGACGAAGATTATGTGCAAGAGCCTACAGATGCAGCAATGGATAATGAAGTCCGTAGAGCACTCATTATCGCTAGATAGAGAGCACTCTCGAGGCTCCCAACCCGGCCACCAAAATCGCATAGAAGGGGCGATAGTGGAAAGGCCAGGGCAGAAAGGACAAATAGACAAACGGTATAGAACGAACTAAGATAGAACGAACGAAAGTAGAAAAGAAGCAAGTTTATTGTAGTCGGCCTCACGAGGGTTGGGTGTAAGCCACTCGGAGACCTTCCTAAAATAGTATCGCTACTCTATCAGGATGTCCAAAAATGAATATGAAAAAGACCGTTAAAGTCGGAAACCAGTTTTCACACTGATTAGAACAGATGCTACACTTGATCTTAGCTAAAAATCCAAGAAGGCATGGCTTGAAAGCAATACAGAGGACAGAATGCAACACTGTCGATACAGTAGCGAATGTTGACAATAAGAATTTGAATGTTACATTAAATTCGAAATGCGAAAGTGATATTTCAAACAATGAAATAGAGCAACAAATGCTAGTAATCCAACGTCAGTTCTTGGTGCTGCACGCGTGTATGTTGATAGTGTGTGTACGTTGTGAATGATGTAAAGTAATCATGACCATACAACATACAAAAGCTGTTGAAAAGGTAAATGTAAGTTGGCCTCACGGGAGAAAGGTGTAAGCCCCCGGAGACCGCCCCGTCTTAGTAGTAAGCTACTTCGACAGGATGTCCAAAAATGAATGTGAAAAAGACCGACAAAAGTCGGAAACCAGTTTTCACGCTGATAAGAACAGATAAGTTTGTTTAGATTACCAGTTAGTAACCTCTCCGCGATTATAAAGTTTCCTAATACGAATATCACTAATTTGATGGTGGTTGTGTCTACCTGGGTTCGAAGGACGGTTTCCTACGGGGATAGTGTCCTGTCGGCCAAAATACCAGCTTATCGCTTTTGGCGGAAGGTGATGCTTCTTGTGCAGTTGCATGGAAAGTTCATTTGTATTCAGGTGTGTCATTGTTTGTACTAGTAAGTAATTAGTACAAGTATGGTAGGAAAGCTGCACGATGAAATGACAACGTTCAGTTGCTCAGTCGGGAAGGCGTGGCAGCGTATCCCAGAGGGATTTGTTCGATCCCCTGAGGGGACTAGTTACAAAGTTAATCCTTCGGGTCCTGGTGTCTAGGGTTCATCAGCACTGTCCTGCCAGATAGTTACGTCCCCTACTTTTGCGACAGGGGCATGAACACAACGTGTGATTGGTCAATTAGAATTGATCGGTCTGCAGGTGTGGGCCTGAATAATAATTGGACAGCTGAGACGACTGGCAACGAAGCGCCAACGATCCAATGGTAGCAAGAATGAGACTAACGGTAGGAAAAGGTAAACACACAATGTTATTTACTTTTGGTTTTACTTCTTCGACCACAAGTAACTTCTTTTGAACGCTCACGACAAACTAGAAATTCAACAGGTTATGAGCCCAAGCGTTAAGATTGCTCCCAAAATGGAATTATTTAACGGAACAAACTACACGTTGTGGGCGTTCAAGATGAAGATGTTCATCACGTCTAAGGGACAATGGGAGGCAGTGAATGGTGGAGCGGCCGTCACAGCATCTCAGGAGTAGCAGGCGCACGCTGCGATCGTGTTGAACCTGAGCGACGCACAGATTATGCACGTCGTTTGCACGGAGAATGCGCGCGATGCATGGTCAGCTCCCGCTCGAGTTCATCGGACTCACGACATGGCAAGTCGGCTGTGGCTAAAGGAAAACTTTGCGTCTTTCAAGTACACTTCGCCTGAAATGACATCTCACGTCATTAAGCTGGATCAATTGGTGCTGAAGATGAATGGAGCTGAGTGTGGGCCGAGCGGAATGTATATGTGCGCAACCATGCTGCGCAGCATTTCGGCATCGTATGAAAGTCTGGTTCAAGCGTTTTGTACGAGTGTGACGACATTTAGGTTCACAGACCTCGTGAAAAAATCATAGTCGAAGAGGTACGCAAGAAAGACTCGTCGCGAATCAAAAAAAAACGGCAGCGTTGCACATCGGCAAGCGCATAGACAAGAGTAGGCCTACAAAGAAGAATGGCGGTCAGCGCAAGAAAGGGTCGAATGTTCAGTGCTTCGAGTGCGGGAAGCGCGGGCACTTCGCACGCGACTGTTGGCCGAAGCCGTCAGGTGGTAACGAGGTGCACGAAAATCACTATAAAGTTGCATTTAACGTGAGTGAAGATAGCACGAGCGACTGCTAGGTAGTGGACAGCGGCGCGACAGATCACATGTGTCAGGCACGATTTTTTTGTCGAATACGCAGAGATGACGTCGGTACGGAATGTGCTGAGCGCCAAGAATAGTTCGTGTTTAAAGGGGCTTGGACGGGGCACAGTGGTCTTACGAGCTTGGAACGGCATATCGTTGATAAACACGAAACTAGAAAATTCACTCCATGTGCAAGACCTCAGCAAGAACCTATTTCGTTGACGGCAGCAACCGCGCGCGGGATAACGATCGAGATTGCAAGCAATGACTGCATCGTCAAGAAAAGCGGACGACCCGTTGCGACAGGCTCACGGCGCGGTATGCTTCTTCTACTCAATGTTGAAGCCAACTCCGAGTGCCACGTGGTAGAGGGCTAAGCAGAACTGTGGCATCGCCGACTAGGACCTGTGTCTTACTCTACTGTGAACAAGCTAATGAAGCAAGGCTGTACTAACGGCGACTGCATCGATCCGAGTGTCGTTTGTGACGTATGCGCAACAGCCAAGCAAGTGCGCAAGACATTTAACAGCAACGAAGCAGATACCGCAGCAAGGAAGAGTCACCGCGAAGACTCGGTAGTGTGTTCGGATGTTTTAGGGCCTGTGTCACAGGCTTCCAAGTCGGGCTACCGCTACGTCGTGACCTTCGTGATGATGAAGAGTCTCTTTGTGATGGTTTATCCGCTGCGAAAGTAATGTCAGGTCATCGAGGTTTTATAAAGTACTATCATGGTATCAAGCTCGAATGCGACATCGGCGTGAAGGTACTCCGCAGTGATAATGGCGGAGAGTATCGAAATGATGACATGAACCGATTTTGTAGGCAAAAAAAGATCAAGCAAAAATATACCGCACCATGTAATCCAGAGCAGAGTGGCATAGCAGAGCGCTTGAAAATTGGTAGAAATGACACGCTGCATGCTTAGCGACGCCAACGTAGATAAGGCATACTGGTGTGAGGCAATGTTGACTGCTGTAGACATCTGTAATGTAGTACCTCATGCGTCAAGTTCGAAGGCAAGTCCGTTCGAAATTTTGTTCAAGCGCAAGCCACAGATCGATTCTATGCGGGTGTTTGGTAGTCTATGCTAGGCGCACGTGGCCAAGGTAAAGAGAGCCAAGCTAGACGGATCAGGTGTGCGCTGTTTACTACTCGGCTACTCTGAACAGCACAAGGCCTATCGACTTCTTAATGCATGCACATGGGAGATGGTGATAGTTCGCAGCGTGACGTTCGCCAAGCATGCAATAATCAAAGCAAGCAGAAACATCACACTAAATGTGATCGAAGTTTTGGATGACGAAGATTATGTGCAAGAGCCTACAGATGCAGCAATGGATAATGAAGTCCGTAGAGCACTCATTATCGCTAGATAGAGAGCACTCTCGAGGCTCCCAACCCGGCCACCAAAATCGCATAGAAGGGGCGATAGTGGAAAGGCCAGGGCAGAAAGGACAAATAGACAAACGGTATAGAACGAACTAAGATAGAACGAACGAAAGTAGAAAAGAAGCAAGTTTATTGTAGTCGGCCTCACGAGGGTTGGGTGTAAGCCACTCGGAGACCTTCCTAAAATAGTATCGCTACTCTATCAGGATGTCCAAAAATGAATATGAAAAAGACCGTTAAAGTCGGAAACCAGTTTTCACACTGATTAGAACAGATACTACACTTGATCTTAGCTAAAAATCCAAGAAGGCATGGCTTGAAAGCAATACAGAGGACAGAATGCAACACTGTCGATACAGTAGCGAATGTTGACAATAAGAATTTGAATGTTACATTAAATTCGAAATGCGAAAGTGATATTTCAAACAATGAAATAGAGCAACAAATGCTAGTAATCCAACGTCAGTTCTTGGTGCTGCACGCGTGTATGTTGATAGTGTGTGTACGTTGTGAATGATGTAAAGTAATCATGACCATACAACATACAAAAGCTGTTGAAAAGGTAAATGTAAGTTGGCCTCACGGGAGAAAGGTGTAAGCCCCCGGAGACCGCCCCGTCTTAGTAGTAAGCTACTTCGACAGGATGTCCAAAAATGAATGTGAAAAAGACCGACAAAAGTCGGAAACCAGTTTTCACGCTGATAAGAACAGATAAGTTTGTTTAGATTACCAGTTAGTAACCTCTCCGCGATTATAAAGTTTCCTAATACGAATATCACTAATTTGATGGTGATTGTGTCTACCTGGGTTCGAAGGACGGTTTCCTACGGGAATAGTGTCCTATCGGTCAAAAGACCAGCTTATTGTCGTGCCCTTACCTGAGATGTGCTCTGCCGGGTCCCCTCAGACCGAAGCATTGCTCTCGAGGCAGTACCACCGCGTTGTCGATCACGGTGCTGGCGACAGTGCCAGCTCCAGATCCGATGACTGGACCTAATACAATGGCTCGACAGCTGAAGATTCAGCTGTCGAGCCTCAATCTTGAGCAACCCAAGCGTCTCTGTGTAGGTCTTGAGGTTGCTGGGATGCACCGAACCCAGTGAACCATAGACAAGAGCCGTAGTCTGTACCTGCCATCCTTTAAGCCGCAACTCAAAAACGATGGGATGGTACTTGTTGACCTTGAAGTCATGGCTGAGTTGCAGCGAGGAGTGTCGAGCACTAGCAGCATGGTCTTCAAACGTGACTTTCAAGTCAGCAATCACCATTATCTTGGCAGCCACGTCACGCACCACAATGTCGGGACGCAGAGCTGCACCAGTGTACTCGGGTACCGTCTGGTTGATGCGCAGCTCTGCGCCTGATTTTCTCCGGACGAGCGCGTGCCTTATCTTGGCACCTATCTGCTCGAGTGCGTAGTCATGACGCTGACGGATTGAATCCATGTTCGTAGCATAATGGTTCAAAACGTGCGCCAGCGTCTCAGCACTCGAGCAGGTCGGCGCTCGGCAGTGAGCGTTCGCCCGAAGACGGCGGCGCTTCAGCACCAAGTTGGTGTCGACTTATTTGAGTCGGGCCTGTACTCCAAACCGATGTTCGGCATCAGATAGACCCGCCCTCGACATCACAAACTTGGACCCGGGGCCACCGTGCACCCGGTCCGTCTTGCCTTGATCCACCAGACTCTTCCACCGAGTCTGGTGGCGAATCTCCATGTGCAACTTCACGTGCCGCCACTCATCCTTGTGGTCGAGCCACTTGTTATGGTGAAGCACGCGGAGCGCGAATTCATTTTGGACGTCGTCCTCTGCGCGTTCCGCCAAGCAGAGATGGTGGACGCACATCACCCACTGTACGTCCACCCAAAGCGAAGCAATGTCGCCGGACCAGCGATTGACAGTAGCATGGGAAGACGATGCAAGCTCCGAGTTCAGGAACAGACGGATAAGCTCGTCGTCTCGACCCACCAAGTGGTTTTCAATCAGTCGGTACCGCTTGCGCGCTACCTGACACACCTGGGTCTTCGCAACTGCAACAATCGCCGGGCTCTTGGAGTGCAACATCTGCCACGCATGTGCCACCTGCAGCGCTTGGTGCATTTTCACCAGCGACTGCAGTCCCAGATCACCACCAGATGTAGGAGAATAGAAGAACTCGGTGGTGGCGGACTGAGGCAGGCGCAGCAGATGCCGCAAACCACGCTTCACGGCGCAGTCAAATCCTTGGAGCTGCGACTGTAGCAGGCGCAGGTGACGAAGGGCGTACTCCACCTTCGGGTAAACGTACGTCTTCAACGCCTCCACCACCTGCCACACCGCGAGTCCAGACTGCATCAGCGCGACCGCCTTCCGCTTGATCTGTTCTAGCTTGGGCTCAAGCTGGAGGCGGTGCTGCACATGGTCGAAGCCATCGCCCACCCCCAAGTACCGGTAACTCGCGTTAAGGGTAAGTGGGGCGATGACATCACCATGTAGCTCCAAGCGCACGCTATCGTCACGAGCCGGGTTGCCACGGGCGTTGATGGTCACCGCAAGGCTAGCACACTAAGCCGTGTTGGTACGCAACCCGATCCATGCGAGGAAGCGCTTGACCACACCATGACAACTTTGGATGCCGGCAGCGCTTTTGCTGTAAACTTTGATGTCATCAGCATAGGCGGTGGTGCACGGCCGAACACCATCCGCCAGCGGCACACCGACATCCTCCAGCTGTTCCAAGCGTCGAACAAGTGGGACCAGGCCAGCGATGAACAGGAGTGGGATCAAGGGGCACCCTTGGTAGACACCAACCTCCTGCCTCACTGGGTCAGTCGCACCGTCCTGCAAATTCACTACCACAAAGGACGACTCATGATAGATGTCCTGGAAACGGTTAATGAACCGGGGCTCAACGCCAATGCGGCGGAGCACCTGCCACATGAGTGCCTGTGGCAGCGAACCGAAGGCGTTCAGTTAGTCGTACCACACTTGGTACAACATGCGGTGCGACCGCCAGGACTGATCCAACATTGTAGTCACCAGAAAATTGTGTTCATGGCAACCGTTGAAAGCCCGGAACCCCTTCTGTGCCATCGGCAGCCGGTTGTTCAATTCTAACCAGCGCGATAGCCGACGTGCCAACAACCCGCTGTAGAGTTTGTAGATAGCGGGCTGTAGGCATATCGGTCGCCAGTTGGTCGGCTGCACCGGGTCACCCTTCTTGTGGATCAGGCAAACGACGCCCACCTTCCACAGCACGGGCACCATCCGATGCAGCCAACAGAACTGGTATGCGGCGTGCAGAAGGGGTACCAACTGCGGGGCAAACCGGCGAAAACATCATATCCAACCCCATCGTGACCAGGGCTGGATGACTTAACTGCCCGCAGTAGCTGGTCCTCCACTTCATCCATCGAAATATCTCCATCGGACCAATCACCACCCAGTGTATCCATCGAAAAGTCGTTGAGCACGGCCCGGAACTCGTGTCCTTCAGCAGCATCATATTCGAAGGGAGCTGGGGCCGTGCTGGTGCCCACAAAGTGGCGGTAGAGCTCCTCCCTGCCAATGGGGCAGGTGTCTGGGTGCTCGACACCCGCGGTCTTCACCGAGGCACCGTCCAAAATCATGGCCACACACTTGGCTTCGTCCTTGGCCAAAGCCCGACGCAAGTCAAGCTGTGCTATCGAGGCACGGACCCGTCCAACCCGGCGCCGCGCATTTCGGACCGCTTGCCGGTTTTTTGGCGTCGCCTGCTGGGTCGCTTGCATGTCGTCAAGCGCCTCATCCAATCGGTGCTCACGCTGCGTGCGGGTCACGCGGGGAGGTCGACGGCGGGGCGGGCGAGTCGGAGGCGACTGTGGGTCTGTACTTCCAACCGGTGCGATTGAGTACGGCAGAAGTACTTCACGGAGGCGGTCAAGGATGGCAGAAATGTAGCCTTCACCTGTGATCCAGCTATCCGCATCCACAATCTTGCTCGCCAAGACCTCCGCAAACCGTTGCACGACACTAGCAGCTGCGTCGTGCTCTTCCTCAGTCAGTTGGCGGAGTCGAAGCCGAGGTTGCCGCTCGGGAGATGGGCCTGGGCCAATAGGAAGAGTAGGGAAGACCTCACCTCCATCACGAGCAGCAATCTCGGCCTCGATGGCAAGACTGGCCACATTAGCCAGCATGACCGCGACAGCAGAGTCACCAGCGGTAGCTGCTGACAGAGTCGGCGCCGGGGCAACTGAAGGTATGGGAGCAGGCGTAAAGCAGCTACTTATGGCGACGGAGTGAGGTCCACACTCCACGGCGGTGCGTCGGACGTCAAGCGCACGGTTAGCGAGGCGGTCGGCATGGGCGCTTGCCCGTCGATATGCCGAAGCTGATGCCATGCAAGACACCCCAGCGCCGTCCGCACTTGACCTCGCAGTCGCCGGAGTCGTCGGTTGGTGCAGCCAAACGAGCCGCGCACCTGAGCCAACACTAGGTTGCTGTCGCCTTCGACGAGCAGTCGCGTGGCACTATGGTGGACGGCACTCTGCACCCCCACCAGCAGAGCGGTGTATTCAGCAGTGTTGTTCGTCCCAGTGCTGGCGGGGAGGAAGTGCGAGCAAGTCCACACCACGGTGCCGCTCGAGTCGAAGAGAGCAGCACCAGCGCCCCCGAGTCCAGGGTTCTGCCGGCACGCACCATCGAACTGCAGAAGCCATGGCTCGGACTCTGCTGCACATGCAGCCACATCAATGGACGGACACGGACTGGCAGGGCTTGGGGCTGGCGACGGCGGTGGGTCGGTGGGGATTGGAGCAGCCGCTGCAGCAGGTGCACGGTCAGCGATGTATGATGTTCTGCGTAAGCATGGGCGGCGCCCTGTTGTAGGAACCGTCACCACAACACGCGGGCCCCAACGCGTCATCGCACGTCGTGGCGCTGCTGTCAGTGGGGGCCTAACAGCGGGTGCGGAAACAGTCGGCTCACCAGTGACAAGGTGAATAACCGCCGCAGCCCCGATCGCGCCGTGACGTGGCCCCCACCGCGTGGCGCAAGTGCCGGATGCTGCAGGAGTCAGCGGTCGTCGCACTGCCGGAGCCGGGGTTGCACGCGCACCAGTCGTCGGCGGAGTAATGGCCGCTACGCCCACTGCAGGGTGAAGTGGCCCCCACCGTGTCGGTCGTTCTGTGGATGCAGGTGCAACCACAGTGTTCATGTCTTCCATGTATTCGTCTTGGACCTGTCCATAGCAAGGCTCCACACTGGCGTCAGCCATGAGGTCGTCCAGGTCGGGAAACACCGCGGCCAAGTCATCAAGACGGCGGCGCTTGCCAGCGACCCGGACGTCACGCTGGGACAGAGATGGGCACCACATGGGGGGACATGGTGATGCCCGGCGGCAGTGACAGCGGCAGGCACGGCGCTCTGTGGGTGTGAAACGTCTGCGGGCACAAAGCAGCTTGATGCAACTGCTGTGGCCGCAGAAGTTGCCGCGCTGAGGGGCCGTGTGGTGTTGGGTTCTCCTCTGGGTGCAAGGCATGCCAAACAGAACGAGCATGCAACGGCGGGGAAGTCGAGGCAGGTTTGCGCGAGTCACGTGCAGCGGCAGAGGTGTACGAGGGGCTGGCTAGACACGTGAGGGCATGTTTCGTTGCCGCTGCACGTGACCGGTGCCCGATGCCGCACATGCACCCGCTGTGGAAGTGGTCCACGAAGCAGGTGCCACGATGCGCTGTGCGTCGGTGTCGTGCAAGCGCCGCGAGGTCGCAGGCAGTGTACGCACACAACGTACACTTGAACTTGGGAGCGTTGTGGGCGTACACTGAGAGCCCAGGGCCCTGCTGCCCGGCGGCAGGCATGGGTACATCTTGGGAGGAGCCCTGGCTACAGGCATCCTCGCTGCGCTTGTTCTCATCGTCGTCGTGCTCTAGGCAGGCCGTCACATACAGCTCATCACCGCAAGGCATCAGAGCGTCACACCCGGCTCGGTCAGGCAGCGGGGATGCCTGCCAGCCGAGCCGGTCGTCACAGGTAAGTGGGACAGAAACAACACCATAAACAATTGCTGCAGTGGACACGGCCTCGCTGGTGGTAGCGTGTGTGCCCACGGTGTAACGGGGTGAATCGTTACATAACAATTTATAAGAAATTGTTAATAGAAGATAACTATAAGAGTTACATTCTCAGAATATTGTCATAAGGACAAACATTCTGTAGCACTTACGAGTAGTTCCTAATTGGTTGATATAGGCCATTATATCAACCAACGAAGACGCGCCACGACAGACGCACGCAATGAGTGGTGAGCAGATAGTTGATATGCACATTTGTATTCAGACATAGTTAGATGAAGATAAATAGTGATTTATTGCAGACATTAACTATACTAAATACAGTTCTACTTTTTACTTTAACCAAGTACTCGCTTCTTCTTACCGTCTTCCTCTGCACGTACGAGTGTACGTGAAGTTACGAGGCACCGCCTTATTCTGTCATCAGAATAAGTAGCTTGTACTGTCACCAGTACAAGCTTCAGGGTGCACCGTTACACCTGGTAGCACTTCGTAGTCCGTCCAAGGACCGCGTTCACATCCAACATGAATATGTTGGATGATGAAGATGACCAAAGCTTTCACGCTACGCGTGACGGCTACTCCCATTTGAGCGATGTCGAATGGGATGCGGTTGAACGAATGGGTTCGACCATGGGCATCCATGCTGTTAGCGTCATGCTAGAGGCTCTCAAAAGAGATGCCCAACATGCTACTATCGCCAAGTTCATTCAAAATGAACTTGACGCCGAACGCGAGAAAGTAGCCTTGCTTCACCAACAAGGTTCTCAACAAGCAGAGTTGTTGAGAGAACAGGTTGCTCAACAGTTTGAACTGTTGAGACAGCAGCAGGCTGCTGCTGGTGGGTCGATGCACTCGCGTCGACCCGAGACCTTGAAGATTGACATCTCCAAGTATAGAGGGGTCGAAGAAGACTCCCTCTTGAGATGGTTCGTCGAATTGGATGACGCCATAAGAGCGCGTCGCATCGACGACAGGGATATGCAAGTTGCATTTGCCCAGTCAAATCTGGCAGGACGTACCAAGACTTGGGCACTGGGGCTCAAGTTGCACGACCCATGTGCGTTTGGGTCGTTGGAAGTCTTTAAGTCGCGGCTCAGACAAACGTTTGAACCGCCTAGAGCTGAGTTCAGAGCTCGAACCGAACTCTTGAAGCTCAAGCAGGGTAAGCGTGATGTGCACGCTTACGCTCAACATATACGACATCTCACGAGTTGTATAAGTTCCAATCCGGTGGATGAACACACGTTGGTTTCGGTGTTCATGCAGGGTCTTGCGGATGGTCCCGTAAAGACTCACCTGTCCCGGCTTGAACTAGATTCACTAGAACAAGCCATTTCCATTGCGGAGCAGGAAGACTTCAGTCTGAGACAGGCTCGCGCCAGCTCGACATCATATCGTCAACCGAGACGATATGACAGCGGAGGTCCAGAGCCGATGGAACTCTGTTATGTAGAGAGCGAGAAGGCTCGCTCTACAGGCTACAAGAAGTTGCAGAGATGCAACAGATGTCAAAAGACAGGACACTACGCTTACGAGTGTAGTGCCCCTCGTCCAGTGTCTCGCGACACTGGGCGTAGTGACCGTCCACCCATGAGAAAGGGGCAGGGACGAGGGTCCGCAGTTGGTGCAAAGACGCAACAACGGGATGGACCGTCAAAAAACGGACAGGATCAGTAGGTGCGGAGCACCCTACTGATCCAGCAACGTCAAGAGAATTTGTAGGCCTCTCTGCTCTAGGTAATGAGGTCTCACTCATTACCTTGAAACTCGAAGTGACGAATAAGTTGTCCCTTCGAGCTCTAGTCGATTGTGGGGCGTCCAACAATTTTGTGCAACGCCAATCGCTAGAAGATGGTCACTTTCAATTCAGTGAATGTGACACACCTCCTACGAGGATGACGGTACGTCTTGCGACAGGCGCATCCGTAACCGTCATGAAGCGTATAGTGAAGATCCACTATACGCTAGAAGATACCCAACATGACGATGACTTTATCGTATTGGATTTGGATGACAAATTTGATGTCATCCTTGGAATACCGTGGCTCAGAAGGTACGAACCACGGGTAAACTGGCAACATCGGACAGTAACGATGCCTGCCGCTTGTTCATCAGATGGCCATCTGATGAACATTCAGGAGCGTCCACAAGCGTGTGAATGTACTACGAGTGATTGCGATGGCCTCACTTGTGGTACGGTCGTTAGTACGACTGCACAAAACCTTAGTGTACCAAACGGTTACACTTCGGAGCAAAGTTCCGGCGGCTGTGAGGAAACACAGGCTGCGCCGAAGGTCCACCACTCGAATAAGTCGGGTGGACCGGGAAAAGATGTATCCCTAGAGGGGAACATCTAGAAGAGAAACAATCGATCGCTCAGGTTAAGCGAAACAATAATCCTAGATCGACTGGAGAGTCTTTCGTAGAGGATATCGCTGTGGTTGCGCAACCCCAGCTAGAGGAAGTAAAGGGAATAAGTCCCAAGATTACAAATACGGCGGAAATAAGTTCCCTGAAACCCGCGGAAATAAGTCCCCGGGAAGCCGAAGGAATAAGTCCTTCGAAGCCTGAGGGAATAAGTCCCCAGGAAATGACAGAGACATTGAATGTCATAGTCAATAACGGATCAAGTGTAGGCGCTTATACACTTGATCTGATTGCGCCTCCGAAGTTAACTTCGGAGATCACTCAGTTGCCAACGCTCGAACATAAAAGGTTCTTGCGTGATCTGCGTAGTGGTAAAGTCAAGCAGATCTGCATACTCGTCGCTGACGACGAGTGTGTAACCGACATAAGGTCAGCAACAGTGTTCACTGAGAACGAGAGAGTTCTCAGTAGTTCATCTATGGACGAGAGTGTCCTAGATGAAAAGACACGAATTGAGCGATATGACTCCCAATCGTGGGAATCGCTCAAGAAAAATCCTCTCTATGAAGATTTGGTTGAATTCAAGGATGTATTCCCTGAAACTGTTCCGTGCGAATTACCGAAGGATAAAGGTATTCGACACGAGGTCGAGCTTAAACCAGGCTCGAAGTACTGTGTCATGAAGCAGTGGCCACTGCCTCGTGAACAAGTACTTGCGATCGACAAGTTCTTTGCCGATCGTTTAGCTGCGGGCCATGTGAGGGAATCAACTTCCCCACATAGCTCTCCGACCTTCTGTGTGCGAAAAGCAACAGGAGGGTGGCGGATAGTGCACGCGTTCAATAAATTGAACGCTGCAACGGTACCGGCTCAGACGCCGATACCGAGGAAGGACGTAATCATTGATGGTATGTCAAAGAGTACCATCTTTTCGTCCATGGATTTGATGGATGGCTTCTATCAAATCCTTATGCGATAACGGGATATACCATATACCGCAGTTAGCACGCCTAGCGGCATGCTCTGGGAATGGCTAGTAATGCCACAAGGGCTTAGTAATGCCCCTGCCACGTTCAACAGATGTGTATCACATCTGTTGAGACCAGTACGAGAATTCGCGCCGAGTAATTTCGATGACGTATTCATCCATAGTCGAGCTATGGATGGAAAGTCGGACGTTGAGGTTCACAGGTACCACGTCCGACAGGTTCTTACAATCATGCGAAAGCATCAATTGTATGCAAACCTCAAGAAGTGTATATTTGCAGCAAGCGAAATACCACTTCTTGGGTGCATCGTTGGTAAGAACGGTGTACGTCCTGATCCCGAAAAGATCAAGGCGATCACCGACTGGCCTGTGCCGGTTGATGTCAAAGGTCTTCGAAAATTCCTTGGGCTAGCGGCGTATTTGCATAAGTATTCACGCAATTACGCCGAGATGACTGTGCACCTCTCTCGTTTGTTGAAAAATAACGAGAGGTGGTTATGGAACGCTGAATGTCAACGCTCCTTTGAGGGTATCAAGCAGAGCTTGATACAATCCCCAGTCCTAGCAATAGCCGATCAGGACAGGCCATTTCATGTGGTCTGTGATGCCAGCGATTTCGCAATCGGCTGTGCATTAATGCAGTACGATCTTGAAGGCGTTGAACGCGTCGTCTGCTATCAGTCGCGTCAGCTGCAACCAGCTGAGCGGAACTATCCAGTGCATGACAAGGAACTCCTTGCCATGAAGTATGCACTCGCGAAGTTCAGAGTCTATCTATTAGGAGATAGACCCTTCATTGTTTACACTGACCATGCGTCATTACGCACGGCAGTGAACAGCCCGCACCTTTCACAACGAATGGCGCGGTGGTTGTCATTCTTTGCAGAATACAACTTTACGGTTGAGTACAAACCAGGACGACTTAATGTCGTCGCTGATGCACTCTCACGTCGTCCCGACTTTGAAACAGTCGCGAGACCCAACAGTGAGACAGTCACTGTTGCGGTTATGACGTCCTCAGTCCCATCTACAACGTTGTATGATGATGTGAGGCGGGCATACGCCCAAGATGGTGAGATAGTGAAGTTGTTGTCACATCTCTCCCAACCATCTCGAGAATCGTTGAAACGATTGTCGTCTGCGTATCGATCTACATCAGATCGATACACTACTCGCAACGTGTTACTGTATTATACAGCCGTTTCTGGTGACACACCACGTGTTGTCATTCCAGATGATACTGATCTGCGTTTGCGGATCATGTTCGAGTATCATGATGCTCCTATAGGAGGACATCGTGGCCGAGAGAAAACATATCTCACGGTAAGTCGAGACTTTTACTGGCCCCGCCAGTATCAGTTTGTGCGAAAGTATGTTCGCGCATGCGAAGTCTGCCAACGAGTGAAGTCAAGTCCTTCACTGCGTGCACCATTACAGCCTCTACCGGTTCCGGCTGAGTGCTGGGAATCCATCTCAATGGATTTCGTCTTCGGGTTACCCAAAGACGCACGCGGGAATACGGGTATTCTCGTATTTGTTGACAGATTCAGCAAAATGGTACACCTTGTGGCTGTACCAGAGACAATCACGGCAAGTGGCTGTGCTTGTGTCTTTATTGACACCATCTTCCAGCTTCACGGGTTGCCCCGTGAACTCGTATCAGACAGAGATCCACGATTCAATGCTGATTTCTGGCGTTCCGTGTTCAAATCACTCGGAACGCGCTTGAAGATGTCGACATCTGATCATCCAGAGTCAGATGGTCAGACGGAACGTGCCAATCGTGTCCTTGAAGAGATACTTCGAGGATACGTACACTCCTTTAACAGTTGGAGTGAGTTTTTGCCAATGGTAGAGTTTGCCATCAACAACTCGGTGCATGCGTCCACGACACATACACCGTTTTACGTGAATGGCTTGCGCCATCCGCGTGTACCCACCTTACTAGAGTGTAACTCTGGTTTAAGGGGGGGAGGGACTCGCGCGAGCAAAAACCGATTTGGGTCACGCTCATCACGCTCTGACGAAGAAGTCATTGCGTTTGATGCCGATATCGATAACATCGATATCGAAGAAGATGATGCCAGTGAGAGTGCGGAAGCCCTCACTGAAGAAGATGATCCCAGTGAGAGTGCGGAAGCCCTCACTGAAGAAAAGGTTGATGTTGCTGCAGTGCGCTCACAGCGCACTGAAGCTAACGAGTAATCAGATGAGTTCATACTGGCTCGTGAAATGGTAGTCCGTTTTGTGCAAGACTCCATCGCCGAAGCGGTGGATAAGCAAAAGCAAAACGCCGATAAGAATGGAAGGGCAAACACTCTTTTATTTAATAAAGGTGATTTAGTCCTACTGTCTACGGTTAATCTACCAAAGCATGTAGTGACTAACTTGGGTAGCAGTAAACTACTACCCAAGTATATCGGCCCATTTCGTGTATTGCACCGCCTAGGCAATGCATACACGATCGAGTTACCACGTAAGATGCGAACGCATCCCACGTTTTACGTTGGTCGGCTTAAGCCGTACCATCAGTACGCTGCTTCTTCCGATGAAGAACGCCCTTGCGCTCAAGCATCTCACAGAGAGCCTTGTGCTCCCGATGGTGGGCATCAACAAGGGTCTGAAGAGCAGCTATCTCATCCCAAAACCGATCAGCAATCCCACGAGCTACCCTTAGCTCGTCACGAAGAGATGTCAGAGATCTCTCGTTCTCAAGCTGAGCAAAGGCAAACTCAGCTCGATGCTTCGAGGCAGTGTCCGCCATTTGGAGACGCCTATTCCGCTCATGTTCGAGATCGTCGCGTAACCCTTGCGTTACGCGATCAAAGAAGCTCTCGGGAACACACCGATCCACATGATCGTGTGGAGAGCGTCTTTCCTCCTCTTCCACCTCCATTAGAGGACTCTCGCGGTGGCCAGCGCAATCTAGTTGAGCAGCTGTTGAACCACCGCGACGTGAACGGACGTCAGACGAGTTATCTCGTCCGGTGGCGCGGCTATCCCCCGTCCTGGGATTCTTGGAAGCCCCGCTCCCAACTGATGATCGACGTACTGGGTCTGGTTGAGCAGTACGACGCGGCACATCCTGTGCCGCAGAAGGACCGCCGGAGAAAGTCTTTCCGGCATGGTCGTAAAGGGATTTCAGGTTGTCAATCCCTTCGTACATCTCAGTAGAGACACGTACGCGCCACCACGGGCTGGTAAGGAGGTAAGCCTCCTTAGGTGCTCGTGCAGAGTTGTTCACACAACATGGGCACGAGTCTCCCCAAGAGAGGCAGGGTAATCCTTTCTCCCTTGAAAAACGATGCAGCTTGTAGCGTGCACCTGTCGGGGTTCGCTTTTCAAACTTATCACGAGCTTTGATAAGTTTGTCGTTCCAAGCGTCACGACCTACATCCTCGAGGTTATGGATGTAGGCGTTCCACGCCTGAAGTAGTGAGGGACCATCACGTTTGTGATTCCCACTGTACCATCGATGTCTAAAGAAAGCATCGATGAAGAATTCATGTTCAGCACGATAGTTTTTCGCGCTGGGGTCAAGGTGATGGATCCTTGATGAATCGAACAATCGTGTTCGATAACGATCACTCGTCGTCGCCGACAAGTGATCCATGACGGATTTTGGAGGCATCCATGCCTTCTTTTCTGGAGCGAGACGCAAGACATTGCGGTCCCGCTCTTCCTGCAACGTGCCGACAGAAGTACTGGCACCTCGCTGTGAAGTGGTGTCCATAGGAGAACCGACACCACTATTAGCGCCTGAGTCTCGCGACCTCGAGCGCCTTCGCTTCGGCGATGGTTCATCTGATTCATCAGATGAACCAAAGATGCTGCGACGCAAAGCATCGTCCATGCCACGCTTGGCAGGCGGCTTAGATTCAATCGCCGTCGATACGGATCCGTCATCCGTATCAGGAGAGTACGAGACACCGAGCTCATACTCTGTGAAGACACGAGTGTCTTCATGACCAGCGCCTGCATCACCAAGTGACACAGGCTGGGCCGCTTCAGCAACCGATGAGACATCAGTTGCTGTTGTTTCTGCTTCGGCGTCCGCACAGAGACGTGCAGACACGCTCTCGGCGGCCTTGCTCGCGCATCGCATGGGCTTGTTTATCATGCGATGAGATGTTGGAAAGTGGACGCGGACCAACAAGTGCAAACCCTGTCCCAAATGATTTGGGACGAGTATCCATTTAGTCAATCAGTCACTAAAGTGACTGATGGTTAAGGGGGGGGTGATGTAACGGGGTGAATCGTTACATAACAATTTATAAGAAATTGTTAATAGAAGATAACTATAAGAGTTACATTCTCAGAATATTTTCATAAGGACAAACATTCTGTAGCACTTACGAGTAGTTCCTAATTGGTTGATATAGGCCATTATATCAACCAACGAAGACGCGCCACGACAGACGCACGCAATGAGTGGTGAGCAGATAGTTGATATGCACATTTGTATTCAGACATAGTTAGATGAAGATAAATAGTGATTTATTGCAGACATTAACTATACTAAATACAGTTCTACTTTTTACTTTAACCAAGTACTCGCTTCTTCTTACCGTCTTCCTCTGCACGTACGAGTGTACGTGAAGTTACGAGGCACCGCCTTATTCTGTCATCAGAATAAGTAGCTTGTACTGTCACCAGTACAAGCTTCAGGGTGCCCCGTTACACACGGGAGCGGCCGTGGCCACTGCAGTGTAGCCAGCTCGGGCAGGCAGCTCCGTAGCTACCTGGCCGATCCGGTCGTCATCACTTGGGTGGGCGGTGGCAGCGTCGTTGTCCAACGAAGAGGCGTCGGTGTCGTCAGACGCCATTCCGTCGTTGCTGTCGCTGTCCTCGGGGTCGCTGGGGCCATGGGAGGCACCCCACGGCGCGGGCCGTTGCGGCTGAAAGCGCTGACCCATTATAAACCCGGTCGGGCAGCATTTCTGCCGCCCTGCCGGGTCGAGCAGCAACATCCGCGGGGCTCTGGGCGGCGACGGGGCCGTGGGAGCTGGTGGGAGGGCGGGGGGGAGCCGTCTCACACGTCGTAGAACCCGGGTACAGCCTGTTGGCACCCGGGGAGCCGATGCTCTGAAGTAGTCCGGGCTGGACTCGGTCGGGCAGCATGCTTGCCGCCCAGCCGGGCCCAGCATCAGCGTTTGCATTGTCTCGTGCCCATCCCACGTCTGGGAGGGCGCTCGCATTAGGCTCAGTGGCCGTAGTACATGTTTCCGGACCCGGGAGCTGCCTGCAAGCACCCGAGGAGCCGTCGCTCTGTAGATCTTGCATGTCTTAAAACGATACCCGGTCGGGCAGCGTAACGCCAGCCCTGCCGGGTATGCCAACAAACGCTCTGGAGTCTTGAGGGGCTGCGGCGGGAGAGCAGACACACGGGGACACTGTCGTAGCCAAAAGGCGCGCGGAAGAAGCGGGAGGCGCACTCGTGGCCTCTGCAAGGCCGGCGAAGACGATGCCATCTTGGACCGAGGAGTCTTGAGCGTTGTCTTGAATGGTGTCGTGAATTGCGGCGACCCCTATACTGAAACCAAGTATATTGCAGAAGGTACCTTCGCAGGTACCAACGGGGGGTCGTCGGGCCTCTTCCCGGTCTATGATGGCACCCAGAATCAGGGCCGGAGACCGGGGGCCTTGCGCGCTTCAGAGACCTCTGCGCGCGCGAAAACTTGGCGGGCACTGGGCGATGCGTGCTCACAACACGTGCCCAAAGTTTCGGTGCCTAGCTCCGCGTCACCGCCGCGAGGCGGTGTCGCGCGTACACCCGCGCAGGGCCCATTACCGGGTGGTGATGTCGGGAAATTTTTTTGGTACCCCCAGCCCTAGTCCGACGGCGGCCGTTCCCAGGCAGTTTCGTTTCACCGGCTGTGGATAGGCGGTGGTAGAATCGTCTGGGAACAGTCTTAAGTCAGATTGCCCCGCCTCTTCCCCAGTGACCGGTTGCGTGTCACCAGGGAGAGGGGGCAGTTCGCCACTCAAATCAGTCTCTGCGACAGACGACGCGTCGTAAAACGACGCAGCGCTGGCGAGACTGGAATGGCTGTCCGTAGAGCACTCACTATCGCTAGATAGAGAGCACTCTCGAGGCTCCCAACCCGGCCACCAAAATCGCATAGAAGGGGCGATAGTGGAAAGGCCAGGGCAGAAAGGACAAATAGACAAACGGTATAGAACGAACTAAGATAAAACGAACGAAAGCAGAAAAGAAGCAAGTTTATTGTAGTCGGCCTCACGAGGGTTGGGTGTAAGCCACTCGGAGACCTTCCTAAAATAGTATCGCTACTCTATCAGGATGTCCAAAAATGAATATGAAAAAGACCGTTAAAGTCGGAAACCAGTTTTCACACTGATTAGAACAGATACTACACTTGATCTTAGCTAAAAAGCCGAGAAGGTATGGCTTGAAAGCAATACAGAGGACAGAATGCAATACTGTCGATACAATAGCGAATGTTGACAATAGGAATTTGAATGTTACATTAAATTCGAAATGCGAAAGTGATATTTCAAACAATGAAATAGAGCAACACATACTAGGAATCTAACGTCAGTTCTTGGTGCTGCACGCGTGTATGTTGATAGTGTGTGTACGTTGTGAATGATGTAAAGTAATCATGACAATGCGATATGTAAAATTTGTTGAAAAGGTAAATGTAAGTTGGCCTCACGGGAGAAAGGTGTAAGCCCCCGGAGACCGCCCCGTCTTAGTAGCAAGCTACTTCGACAGGATGTCCAAAAATGAATGTGAAAAAGACCGACAAAAGTCGGAAACCAGTTTTCACACTGATTAGAACAGAAAAGTGTATGTTTATTACCGTCCGGTTAGTCCTAAAAGTATAGAAATACCCGATAGAAACTATGTGGTGTGTAAGTTAGGTACAGGGTGCACCACACAGAGCTGAACTATAACGTACCAGAAGGATTTCAGGGCGGTTCCCTACTTGGGTATGGCCCTGTCGGCCACTATGGGCCCGAGTTCCGACTAGCGGCGGCCTTGATGTGACGGGTTCCCCCCGGTCCCCGTCACTCGGCTGCCCCTTGCGTCTCGCCTAGGTCTCCCTTGCCCGTGTGCGCGTCCTTGAACTGTGCTTGGATCTCGAGTCTGCCTCGCGCGGTGCTGGCCGCAATGCAAATTCCAAATGCGGCGGCTGGACTTAATGCATTCAGCAGAAAGGTGCCTGTCCAGCCGCTTCGCATCGCGCTTCAGCACACCAAGGTGATCGGTGTAAACCGCAAGGTTACCACCGGCGACTGCACCAAGCGAACCATAGACGAGCGCCGAAAGGTGAACCGTCCAACCTTGACGCTCTAGGTGTCGCTTGACGCAGTCGTACTTGGCGCGCTTGAGCGCAGCAATCCGCGCGAGCGACGACGTCCTCGGGTCGTTTGTAGCTTGATCTTCAAAGGCCACAGCCAGATCTACAACTGACACCGAACGTGTGGTGTGGTTGTAGACCTGCAAGTCCGGCCGCAGAGCAGGTCCGGGGAGCGAGGGTACGGTTTGGTTAACCCTCAGCTCAACCCTTTCCTTCCGATCACCCGCCGACGACGCTATCGCCCGCTCAATGATCGTCAGAGCGTCGTCGTGGCGGGTGCGGACTGCATCCATGGTGCCGGCACAGTGATTCAACACATGTGCCAGCGTCTCGGTCCTTGAGCAGCCAGGGAATCGGCACTTGTCGTGCGTCCGAAGACGCCGGCGCTTCAAGACACTGCGGGTATCCAGCTGGTTGAGACGACCACCCACCGCAAAGCGGTAGTCGCTCTCCCAGAGACCACGGGGCCTCGAGAGGAAGGCGCTGCCAGCACCACCAAGGGTGCGAGCAGCCTTCCCTTGGTCCTTCATCGCGGCCCATCGCTTCCAGTGCTTGTTCTTGAGGTGCAGCTTCACGTGCCGAAGGACATCCCGATGGTCCAACCAACCATCGTGGTGGGGCACGCGAAGCTGCAACCTCTTGGCCGGCGTCCCGTCTCCTCCACCGCTGGCGCCATCTCAAACATGAGGCCGAAGCGGTGAAGGTGACCCCGGACGTCGAACCACAGCGACCCAATGTCCGCATTCCTTCGCTTGGGCGGCGCTGGGTCCGACGCCCCCAGCTTACTGTTGAGAAGGAGCTCGCCCAGCTCCTCCTCACGGTCCTTCCACAGCACGACATCCAACTTGTAGCGGGCCTCTGCAATTTGACGGAGCTGCTGGCGGGCAATGCGCTGGGTGGCAGGGTCAGAAGAGTGCAACATCTGCCACCCATGCGCCACTTGAAGTGCCCCGTGCAGCTCCGTCAAGGGCAGAAGCCCCAAACCTCCACGAGAAACAGGAGCATAAAGAAACGCTGTCGTAGTGCTAGTCGGCAGCCGCAGCAGGTGGCGCAGACCGCGAACAAGGTGGCGATCGAAGCCCTCCAGCTGCTGTGCGAACGGTCGCAAGTGCCGAAGGGCGTACTCGACGCGCGGGTAAAGGTACACCTTGACCGCCTTGACCACCTGCCACGGCGCCAACCCGGACTGCAGCAGTGCCGTCGCATCATGCTTGAGCTGGGCGATAGCTGGTCCCAGCTCGACGCGACGGCGCACATGGTCGAAGCCATCCCCGATCCCCAAGTACTGGTAAGAGTCGGAGGCGCTGAGCGCGGGGATCGGGGTGCCGTCCAGCTGCAGCCCGAGGTCGCTGGTCTGGTGGAGACCACGCACATCTCGCTGGACTGACATGGTGCTGCACTTCAGCGAGTTAGCCTTTCATGCCAGTCCAGCGTAGGAAGTCGTGCACCACCGAGTGTTGACGCCCGATACCGTCCACGGTGCTGCTGAATGTCTTCAAGTCGTCTGCGTAAGCAGCAGCACCGGGAAGGTCTTCGCTGGACATCGTCACTCCAGTGTCCGGCAGCGACTTGAGCGCGTGAAGCAGCGGGGCGATTACGGCGGTGAAGAGGTGGGGGCTGAGTGGGCAGCCTTAAAACACCCCCACCTTCAACGCGATCGGTGCCGTGGTCCCATCCACAGCGTTACCAATTGTAAACGCTGCGTCTGCGTAGAGACCACGGCAACAAGCGACAAACTCGGGCGGAACACCCTGCCGTTGTAGCGCTTCCCATAGCAAGTCGTGTGGCACGCTACCAAAAGCGTTGGCAAAGTCGTACCACACGACATGCAACTCTTGATGCTTGCGGCGGGCTTGGTCGACGAGCATGGCTGCGAGGAAGTTGTGTTCCCCGCAGCCGTTCATGGCTCGAAAGCCCTTCTGCGCGTGGGCATGTCGACCGTTGACGTCGAGCCAGCGCGTAAAGCGACGCGACAAGACGCCGGCGTACAACTTGTAGATGGCCTGCTGCAAGCAGATCGGCCGCCAATTGGATGGGTCGGACCGATCGCCCTTCTTGTGCAGCAGGCGCACCACGCCAACCTTCCAGCTCTGCGGCACACGCTTGGACCGCCAGCAGCGCGCGAACGCTGCATGCGGGGCGGGCAGAAGCTGGGCCGTAAACATCTTGAAGATGTCATAGCCGACACCGTCCAAGCCAGGGCTGGAACTGCCACGCGCACGCTGCGCTTGGTCCTCGATCTCATGCGAAGATGGCTCATCCGTGAGCAGCGCCATGTCAACTGCCGCTTGAGGCAAGCGGTCCATGGCCGCGCGGAACGAGGCTCCAACTGGCGCCATAGGGTCGAAGGCACCCACCAGGGTGTTCATCTCGGTAAAGAACCGGTGCAGGCTCTCCCCTGGAATGGGGCAGGTGCCTTCCTCCACGTCCACACAGTCCGGCGGAGGCGCAGAGGTGCTGGCTGGCGTAGCCGCAGCCTCATCTGCCTCGCGCTTGGACCGAGCCGTCGCCAGGATGCTCTCAACACACACCTTCTCCGAAGTCTCGAAGAGGTGGCGCAGGCGTTGCTGCGAAATGGAGGAGGTGATCCTCCCCACACGACGACGTGCCTTGGCCACAACCTTGCGGTTGCCCGGCTCGCTACGCTGTACAGCATGCGTGGCGTCCAGAGCCTCGTCAAGCCGGTGCTCACGGTGATGACGTGTCACACGGGGCGGACGTGTGCGCCGGCGCCCCATGCCACCACCGGAGTGACCACGGCGACGACGTGAACGGCTGCCACCTTGGCGCTGACCGTCTGGAGTCACGGCCTGCGCCGGACCTTGGTGTGGCTTTGGTCGCCTGTCAGGACGCACGTCTGGATGGTGCAGCTGCGGGCGCTGGGAGTGAGGTTGGGCGGGGTGTTGTGTCTGGGAGTAAGGCTGCAGTTGATCGTACAGCGCATACGGGAGGGCTGTGATGTAGCCCTCCGCCTCCTCCCAGTCAGCAGCGTCCGTTATCTTGGCAGCTAGCCTCGCTGCTAGCCGCTCCACCAACTTGCCCGCAGCCTCTTCCTCGTCTTCGTCCAGCTGCCGTAGGCGCAGTCGCGACCGGCGCTGAGGCACTGCATCAGGCCCTACACTCATCGCTGCATACACCTCGCCATCATCGATGTCCCCCATGTCTTCAGCATCTGCGGGGCTCGGGGGATCTTCAGTGCCCACCGCGACATGCGGTGTGGCAGGCGGAGGTGCAGCTGCGGGTGCAGGGGCCGTCGTGGAGGTGGAGGTGCATCCATGTCCATCGGTATGCACCCCACACTCCAACGTGGTCGTGCGGTGGTCAAGAGCGGCATTGGCGAGGCGGTCGGCATAAACATTTGCCTGCCTGTCGATGGGATGGAGCGTGGCCTGCTCCATCCGCGCCAGCTCCGCCTTGACCGCAATGCGCAGTTGCCTCAGGCGCTTGTCGCGTGTGGCGAAGATGCCACGCACCTGCTGGATGACAAGAGTGCTGTCACCCTCGATCCGCAGGCGCGTGACACCGTGGTCGGCGGCAGCCCGTGTGCTGAGCAGCAGCGCGGTGTACTCGGCCGTGTTGTTGGTTTCGCCGCTGCTCGGCATGTAGTTGGAACACGTCCATACTACGGGGCCGCTGGGCTTGAATAGCGCAGTGCCGGCGCCGCCAGGCCCAGGGTTTGCCCGGCAGGCACCGTCAAAGCGCAGCAGCCACTCGCCGTCCATGTCTTGGTCGTCGTTGACGTCCTCGTCGTCGCTGTCACCAGCCTTAGTCCCCTCTTCCTCCGTTAACTCTGGCGGGAGGAGACGGTCGGCAATCCTTGACACCACCACGCTGCGAGGCAGTGGTGGACCCAACGTGGGGCGGGAACCTCGGAGAGGCATGACGCAACGCGAGAAGCAACCAGCTGCCTTGGGAGTGGGGGGCTCCATCTTGACTCTGTTGACCTGTCATGAGTGGTGCTCGACTGTGGGGGGGACACAGTGAGCACCGGAGGGTCTTGGCGGGGCAGCACGGGTTCGGTGTCGGCCACCGTAGCGGTGGCATTGACTGCACCAGCAGTGGGGCTGAGGTCCCCGGCTGCTGATGCGGTCGCAGCCGAAGTGTCGCGGAGGCTGGAACACGCGCGAGCGTGGTTTGCTGCTGCCAGCCTCGATACGAAAGGCGTGCCGCACGCACAACCTGCCGAGAAGCGGTCGAGGAAGGAGATGCGTCGGTGCCGTGAGTCCCTGTGTCGCTTGAGCGAAGCAAAGCTTGAGGCCGTGTATGTACACAGCGTGCACGTAAAGCGCTGCGCGTTGTGGGCATACACGGCCAGGACGGAGGCCGGGAGTGCGCTAGCCGTGGATGGCCAAAGCGCTGAGTGCTTGGGGCCGGCCTCAACGTCCTCGAGCAGCAGTTGCTCGGCTTGCTCGCGCGGGTCGTCGTCGCCGTCATCGCTCAAGCGGCGACGCTTGCCGCCGAGGCGGAGCACGAGAGGCGGCGGGCCCGGTACATGGCTGGCTGCCTGCCACGTCGCGCACTGGTCAACCTCCATAGGGACGGCAGCAGTCGAGGCAGGAGCCTGTGCAGCACCCGCAGGCAGCATGGTACCAGCCCTGCCGGGTGTGCAGTCATCGGTATGGGGGCAGGGCCCAGCAGACAACTCGTCGCCGCAAGGCATCGGAGCGTCGCACCCGGCTCGATCGGGCAGGATGGGTGTCTGCCAGCCGAGCCGGTCGTCACAGGTACGTGAGATATCAACAACATCATAAACAATTGCTGCAGTGGACACGGCCTGGCTGATGGTAGCGTGCATGCCCGTGGGAGCGGCCGCGGCCACTGCAGTGTATCCAGCTCGGGCAGGCAGCTTCGTAGCTACCTGTTTGAGCCGGTCGTAATCACCTGCGGCGGTGGTAGCGTCGTCGTCGCCGTCCGAGACCTCGCGGTCGCTGCTGCCGTCGTCCTCAGGGTCTCCAGAGCCACGGGTGGCACCTAAGGCACGAGCAGTAAAGACTGCAAGCGCAAAGCCATCGGTACCCCGGTCGGGCAGCATTTCTGCCGCCCTGCCGGGTCTAGCAGCAACATGCGCGGGGTCCTGGGCGGCGACGGGGGCATCGTGGGCGGGTGGGAGGGCGTGGGGAGCCGTCTCTCTTGTCCGTGAACCCGGGTACAGCCTGTTGGCACCCGGGGAGCCGTCGCTCTGTAGATCCTGCATGTCTTGGCCCGCTACCAAAACCGGCAGCATGCCGCCCACCCTGCCGGGTAGAAAATCAACATTCGCGGCCACTAGGGCGTCTGCGGCCGGCGGGCGGGTAATCAGAGACGCTGGCGAAGCCAAACGGCGCGCGGAGGAGGCAGGAGGCGGTCTCGAAGCCCCCACAGGGCCGGCGGAGACTGCCGCACCTTGAGCCACCGTGGCGCGCGTGGAATCTTGATCGTGTTTGTTAATAATGGCGAGCCCTATGCTGAAAACAAGTATAGTGTCGAAGGTGTTAGAATTAACTAGGTTGTGGAGCTGATGCTGAGAAGAAGATGGCTTACGGCCGGGGATGAAAACCGAAAAGTGAGTTGTATTCAAATTGTTCCTAGCTTCGAAAACGAATGGCTAGTAGTAGCCGGTGACTCTCAGCCACCTATTTCGTGCCCTGTCTCCACCGCTTTCTGTTTTACCTATCACTGGGTAATTACGTCTCGTAAATACCTTTCGTAAAAACTCTGCTGTGTCATATGCTGAATGAAAACGATTGCGTGGGTGGGGGACGTAACTGCGGGCGGGTCACAGTTCTGGTGAACCCCAAACACCAGGTCGTGAGTGTCAGTCACAATTAACTTGTACACGGCGGGGATCGAACCCGCACTCACCCGCGTGGAATCCCCCTTCCCAAAAAACTGAGCCAATCCGATGACTTGTCGTTTCGCTAACATCCCACAATATAAACCTGCCAAAGAACAATACAACTAATGCAAATATGCAATATACACCCTGCACAAGTCGCCGCATCATCACTCGCTAACACTCTCCCTTGATGTGCGTGCGACGTGTGACCCCTACACCGCCATGCACAGACCCGTGATGAACTTGCTGTGCTTGTCTCTTGGAAGTGCTTTGGTGAATCCATCCGCGACCATTTCTTCTGTCGGCTTGAACTCTAGCGCGATAACTGCACTTGCAACCTTTTCACGCAAAAAGTGAAACTTGATGTCGATGTGCTTCGTGCGCGAGTGGTACACAGGATTCTTGGCCAGCGCGATGCAACCTTGATTGTCTTGAAAAATCGTCGTCGCGTTCTTGGCACAGTAGTTCAGGTCCTTGAGCAGACCTCGAAGCCAAATTGCTTCCTGCGTCGCGCTGTACAGACTCATGTACTCTGCTTCCGTACTTGAGGTCGCGACCGTTGGTTGACGCTTCGAGTTCCACGATATCACGCTTCCGTTCAGGAAGAAAACGTATCCTGTTGTCGAACGCCGCGTGTCGAGGTCGCCAGCCCAGTTTGCATCCGCAAATCCAATCAGCTCTCCCTTGTTGATGCCGCTGAAAACGATGCTTAAGTCTTGAGTCGTCTTGAGATACTTGAGAATCCGCTTTGCTGCTGTCCAATGCGACTTGTCGTAGCGCTCGCAAAACTTCGCAACTTCGCCAACCGCATGCGCAATGTCCGGTCGTGTACATGTGGCGATGTACATTAAAGCGCCCACCAGCTCACGGTATGGGTACTTTGGTACAAACGCTTCCTCTTGACCCATCTTGATCAGCTTCGAATTACTGTCCGCCGGCGTGTGCATGTCCTTGCAGTTCTCAACGCCGAACTTCTCCGAAAGTCGCTTGATGTACGCCTTCTGGTTCATCTTGATCGTTCCATCTTCGCGCTTGCGATGAATCTCGATCCCGAGGTAGTACTTGAGATCTCCAAGATCTTTAATGCTGAAATCTTCCATCAATGAGTTCTTGATACTTGCGATGTGCTCCTTCGTCTTGCAGAAAATCATCAAGTCGTCCACGTAGATCACGATGATGCTGTACTCCTCTCTTGTCACTCGAACGAACACACACGGGTCCGCTGTACTGCTCTTGAATCCTTGATCAACCAAGTGCTGACTCAACTTGTTGTTCCACTGCCGCGCCGCTTGCTTCGTCCCGTATAGCGCCTTCTGCAGCAAACACTTCTTATTCGGGCTTCCTTCATCTTCAAAACCGTCAGGTTGGTCCATGTAGATCTCCTCCTCCACTTCGCCGTAGAGAAACGCTGTGTCGACATCAACGTTTTCTGCTTCCAGGTCTTCGGCTGCAGCGATCGCCAACACTGTGTTGATAGATTCCTTGCGCGCCACTGGTGCGAAGGTCTCGTTATAGTCGATGCCAGGACGCTGCGTGAACCCTTTCGCAACCAAGCGTGCCTTGAACTTGATGATCTCGCCACTTGGATCGCGTTTAATCTTGAAGACCCACTTGCAGCCAACGGCCTTCTTGCCCGGTGGCATGTCCATTAGCTTCCATGTGCTGTGTTCTTCAAGCGACTTCATCTCACTCTTCATTGCCTGGAGCCACTGCTCCTTGTAGCCGCTCTTCATCACTTCTCGATAGCTGGACGCTTGTTCCCCATCTTCTTCAGCCGAGAAACAGTAGAAAGAGTCGAAGTCACCTTCGTAGTCGTCCAAATTGAAGCGACCGCGACGATGGCTTGTAAATTCTTGTTCGTAGCGAACCACGCCGCGCTTCTTTCGAACCGGTCGCACCATCCACTCTTCTTCTCCATTTCTTCCGGGTGTGCTGGATGCGCGCGTAGGAATGGTGTCGCTTGGTCGAACACTTGGTCCGTGATGAGAGCTGTTCTGCGCTCGAAGTGGTGGGGTGCGCAGCTCTTCTTCGGTCACCGGCGCTGGTATGTCTTCATCATCGGTTAGCGACGCCTCCACACTTTCATCTTCTTCAATGACATCGAAGACCTGCGTGTCTCTGCTTTTCGATGCTTTCGTGACAGAATGCTCAGCGAACGTGACGCTTCTTGAAATCACGATCGAGCCATCGTCCGCGTTGAGAAGCCGATACGCCTTTTGGTCCTTCTCATAGCCGAGAAAGAAACATCGCACGCCTGAGCCGTCCAGCTTCTTTCTCTTCTCCTTCGCCACATGCGCATAGCATTGCGCACCAAACACGCGCATGTGATCGATGCGCGGAACCTTCTTGAACACCATTTCGTGTGGGCTTGAGTTCTTGTTCGACGCGTTCGGCAGAATGTTTCTGATGTCTGCCGCTGTCATTAGTGCCTCGCACCAATAGGACTTGTCGAGGCCGCTTTCCTTGAGCATACAGCGCGTCATCTCCACCAGCGTGCGGTTCATCCGCTCCGCCATCCCGTTCTGCTCTGGATTGTACGGAACCGTGAACTCTTGCTTAATGAACTTTGCCTTGCAAAAGCTGTTCATCGTTTCGTTCCGGTATTCGCCGCCGTTGTCACTTCGCAACACCTTTATCTTCGTTCCAGATGCTGTCTTGACATCTTGGTAAAACCGCTTGAACGCACTCGCAACGTCGCTCTTCTTTCGCAACGGATAGACCGTTACATACCTGCTCTTCATCATGATGAAGGTTACGGCGTAACTGAAACCAGACTTGGACGCTGGCGTGATAGGTCCGAGAACGTCGGAGCACACCACCACGTCGGAACGCGAACTCTCCCTGGTTTCAGCGTCTTCTTCACTTGTCTTGAATGACTTGCGCACTTGCTTTGACGTTGCGCATACGTCACACGCAACGTTCGTCTTCATCGTTGCGCCCTTGATCCTTCCGTCCTTGACCATGGCATTCAGCGTACCATACGACACGTGACCCAATCTTCTATGCCATAGCTCTGTATCGTCTTCGGCCATGTGGCACTCCGTACCACAGTCAGCATTGAGATACAGGAGGAACCCCTGCTTCCTTCCTGTTGCGACGGGTGTGCCGCCACGCTTGACCACGCACTCGTTGTGCGTTATCTCCACTGTCATGCCGCGCGCTGCCGCAGCCGTGAGCGAAAACAGGTTCTTGGACAAATCTTGAACGTGAAGTGTGTTCTCAAGGCGAGCGTCGATCCACGCATGTCCTGTCCAGACGCGCAGCTTCACTGTCCCATGTCCAATGACATTCAGCTTCACGTCGCTCTTTGCGCTTGAAATGCTTCGCGCATGATGCACTTCTTCGTACTCTTCGAACGCATCTCGATCCTTGCACATGTGTGCTGACGCGCCACTGTCCATGACCCAGCTGTTGCTCGCGAAACCTTCGCTGGCATGAAACGCGACATTCGACTGGTCATGCTGTTGCCCCCTTGGCCCTCGACCGGAGCGACAATCTCTGGCGTAGTGTCCGACCTTGCCACAGTTGTAGCAGGTCCCTGATGGTCCTTTCGCGCGCCGTCCATGTTGCTTCTTCGGGTACTGCTTACCCTTCCTCTTGCCTGCGTAGAGCGCCGTTGCATCTTCTACTCGTGCTCCCTCATTCTGGCGCACTTCTTCGGCGATCAACTTGCTCACGAGGTCACTGAAACTGAAGCTTGCGACGGACATGCGGAATGCCTGTGCCAAGCTCTCGAAGCTTGAAGGTAGACTCCGCAACAGTACTGCGCACACGTCCTCTTCACTTGGACCGCAGTTCGCGCGCTTCATCTTCATCACGAGGTCCTCCAGCTCCATCACATGACCGCTCATGCTTGATGCTGCATACTTGAACGACGCGAACTTTTCCTTCAGCCAAAGTCGATTCGCCATGTCATGACTGTGATGAAATCGCGCCAGACGTCCCCACGCTTCTCTTGCGGTGGCCGAGTCGATGACATGCATCAACTGTGAATCGCTCAGATTCAGCACGATCGCGGCGTGGGCTTGCTGTTCCTTGGCCTCACTTGCTGTCTCATCGCCCGCGATCGCGCCCCACAGCCCCTTCGACATCAGGTACATCTTCATCTTGTAACTCCACAACCCATAGTTCGAGCCGTCGAAAGGCTCGACCTTGAAACCGGAGTCGTTACTTGGGCTCATAACCTGTTAGAATTAACTAGGTTGTGGAGCTGGTGCTGAGAAGAAGATGGCTTACGGCCGGGGATGAAAACCGAAAAGTGAGTTGTATTCAAATTGTTCCTAGCTTCGAAAACGAATGGCTAGTAGTAGCCGGTGACTCTCAGCCACCTATTTCGTGCCCTGTCTCCACCGCTTTCTGTTTTACCTATCACTGGGTAATTACGTCTCGTAAATACCTTTCGTAAAAACTCTGCTGTGTCATATGCTGAATGAAAACGATTGCGTGGGTGGGGGACGTAACTGCGGGCGGGTCACAGTTCTGGTGAACCCCAAACACCAGGTCGTGAGTGTCAGTCACAATTAACTTGTACACGGCGGGGATCGAACCCGCACTCGCCCGCGTATTTCCCCCTTCCCAAACAACTGAGCCAATCCGATGACTTGTCGTTTCGCTAACATCCCACAATATAAACCTGCCAAAGAACAATACAACCAATGCAAATATGCAATATACACCCTGCACAAGTCGCCGCATCATCACTCGCTAACAGAAGGTACCTGCGGAGGTACCAACGGGGGGTCGCCGGGCCTCTTCCCTGTCAATGATGGCACCCAAAATCGGGGCCGGAGACCGGGGGACCTCGCGCGCGACAGAGACCTTTGTGCGCGCGGAAACTTGGTAGGCACTGGGCGATACGGGATCCAAACCCGTGCCCGAAGTTGCGGCGCCTAACTCCGCGTCATCACCGCGAGGCGATGGCGCGCGTAGACACACTCGGGGCCCACTTTGGAGCCCCGGAAGGGAATTATTGGAGGTTCCAGTGTGTACCCCTACCCCTTGTCCGACGGCGACCGTTCCCAGGCAGTTTCGTCCCACCCGTTCCGCAAAGAAGGATGACGAACTTTCTGGGAACAGTCTTAAATCAGACTGCTCCGTCTCTTCCCCAGTGACCAGTTGCGTGTCATCTGGGAGAGGGGGAATTTCGTCGTGTCCCACTCCAGTTTCGTCATCAGGCGACGCGTCATAGAAAGATGCATCGCTGGCGAGACTGGAGTGGCTGTCCGTAGAGCACTCACTATCGCTAGATAGAGAGCGCTCTCGAGGCTCCCAACCCGGCCACCAGAAGAGCATAGTGATGCGTTGGTGTAGAGCCGGTGCAGAAGACAGAAAGACGAAAAAATCGAAAAAAATAGAACGAAGTAGAAAAGGAAAAGTGTATTGATTACGTATCGTTGGCCTCGCGAGGGTTAGGTGTAAGCCCCCGGAGACCTTCCTGAAAAGTATCGCTACTCTATCAGGACGTCCAAAAATGAATGTGAAAAGACCAAAGTCGGAAACAGTTTTCACACTGATTAAATTCCTATCTTAGCTAAAAAGCCGAGAAGGTATGGCTTGAAAGCAATACAGAGGACATAATGCAATACTGTCGATACAATAGCGAATGTTGACAATAGGAATTTGAATGCTACATTAAATTCGAAATGCGAAAGTGATATTTCAAACAGCGAAATAGAGCAACACATACTAGGAATCTAACGTCAGTTTTTGGTGCTGCACGCGTGTATGTTGATAGTATGTGTACGCTGTGAATGATGTAACGTAATCATGAAAATACAACATACAAAAGCTGTTGAAAAGGTAAATGCAAGTTGGCCTCACGGGAGAAAGGTGTAAGCCCCCGGAGACCGCCCCGTCTTAGTAGTAAGCTACTTCGACAGGATGTCCAAAAATGAATGTGAAAAAGACCGACAAAAGTCGGAAACCAGTTTTCACGCTGATAAGAACAGAAAATTGTAATTATTACCGTCCGGTAAGTCCATTTCTAAAGGTATAGAAATACCCTAAAGAAACTATGTGGTGTGTAAGTTAGGTACAGGTTGCACCACACAGAGCAGAACTATAACGTACCGGAGGGGTTTAGAGGGCGGTTCCCTACGTGGGTATGGCCCTGTCGGCCACTATGGGCCCGAATTCCGACTAGCGGCGGCCTTGATGTGACGGAGTCCCCCCGGTCTCCGTCACCCGACTGCCCCTTGCATCTCGTCTTGAGCGTCCATGTCTTCGTCCGTGAACTTGGTCTCGACTTGAACCTTGAACGTCACCTTGGCCCTGCTGCCTCGCGCGGTGTTGGCTGCAATGTAGATTCCATATGCGGCGGCTGGACTTAATGCACTCAGCAGAAAGGTGCATGTCCAGCCGCTTCGCATCGCGCTTCAGCACGCCAAGGTGCTCGGTGTAAACCGCGAGGTTACCACCGGCGACTGCACCAAGCGAACCGTAGACGAGCGCCGAAAGGTGAACCGTCCAACCTTGACGCTCAAGGTGTCGCTTGACGCAGTCGTACTTGGCGCGCTTGAGCGCAGCAATCCGCGCGAGCGACGACGTCCTCGGGTCGTCTGTAGCTTGGTCTTCAAAGGCCACAGCCAGATCTACAACCGACACCGAACGTGTGGTGTGGTTGTAGACCTGCAAGTCCGGCCGCAGAGCAGGTCCGGGGAGCGAGGGTACGGTTTGGTTAACCCTCAGCTCAACCCTTTCCTTCCGATCACCCGCCGACGACGCTATCGCCCGCTCAATGATCGTCAGAGCGTCGTCGTGGCGGGTGCGGACTGCATCCATGGTGCCGGCACAGTGATTCAACACATGTGCCAGCGTCTCGGTCCTTGAGCAGCCAGGGAATCAACACTTGTCGTGCGTCCGAAGACGCCGGCGCTTCAAGACACTGTGGGTATCCAGCTGGTTGAGACGACCACCCACCGCAAAGCGGTAGTCGCTCTCCCAGAGGCCACGGGGCCGCGAGAGGAAGGCGCTGCCAGCACCACCAAAGGTGCGAGCAGCCTTGTCTTGATCCGTCATCGCGGCCCATCGCTTCCAGTGCTTGTTCTTGAGGTGCAGCTTCACGTGCCGAAGGACATCCCGATGGTCCAACCAACCGTCGTGGTGGGGCACGCGAAGCTGCAACCTCTTGGCCGGCGTCCCCGTCTCCTCCACCGCTGGCGCCATCTCAAACTTGAGGCCGAAGCGGTGAAGGTGACCCCGGACGTCGAACCACAGCGACCCAATGTCCGCATTCCGTCGCTTGGGCGGCGCTGGGTCCGACGCCCCCAGCTTGCTGTTGAGAAGGAGCTCGCCCAGCTCCTCCTCACGGTCCTTCCACAGCACGACATCCAACTTGTAGCGGGCCTCTGCAATTTGACGGAGCTGCTGGCGGGCAATGCGCTGGGTGGCAGGGTCAGAAGAGTGCAACATCTGCCACCCATGCGCCACTTGAAGTGCCCCGTGCAGCTCCGTCAAGGGCAGAAGCCCCAAACCTCCACGAGAAACAGGAGCATAAAGAAACGCTGTCGTAGCGATAGTCGGCAGCCGCAGCAGGTGGCGCAGACCGCGAACAAGGTGGCGATCGAAGCCCTCCAGCTGCTGTGCGAACGGTCGCAAGTGCCGGAGGGCGTACTCGACGCGCGGGTAAAGGTACACCTTGACCGCCTTGACCACCTGCCACGGCGCCAACCCGGACTGCAGCAGTGCCGTCGCATCATGCTTGAGCTGGGCGATAGCTGGGCCCAGCTCGACGCGACGGCGCACATGGTCGAAGCCATCCCCGATCCCCAAGTACTGGTAAGAGTCGGAGGCGCTGAGCGCGGGGATCGGGGTGCCGTTCAGCTGCAGCCCGAGGTCGCTGGTCTGGTGGAGACCACGCACATCTCGCTGGACTGACATGGTGCTGCACTTCAGCGAGTTAGCTTTCATGCCAGTCCAGCGTAGGAAGTCGTGCACCACCGAGTGTTGACGCTGGATACCGTCCACGGTGCTGCTGAATGTCTTCAAGTCGTCTGCGTAAGCAGCAGCACCGGGACGGTCGTCGCAGGACATCTTCACTCCAGTGTCCGGCAGCGACTTGAGCGCGTGAAGCAGCGGGGCGATCGCGGCGGTGAAGAGATGGGGGCTGAGTGGGCAGCCTTGAAACACCCCCCACCTTCAACGCGATCGGTGCCGTGGTCCCATCCACAGCGTTACCAATTGTAAACGCTGCGTCTGCGTAGAGACCACGGCAACAAGCGACAAACTCGGGCGGAACACCCTGCCGTTGTAGCGCTTCCCATAGCAAGTCGTGTGGCACGCTACCAAAAGCGTTGGCAAAGTCGTACCACACGACATGCAACTCTTGATGCTTGCGGCGGGCTTGGTCGACGAGCATGGCTGCGAGAAAGTTGTGCTCCCCGCAGCCGTTCATGGCTCGGAAGCCCTTCTGCGCGTCGGCATGGCGACCGTTGACGTCGAGCCAGCGCGTAAAGCGACGCGACAAGACGCCGGCGTACAACTTGTAGATGGCCTGCTGCAAGCAGATCGGCCGCCAATTGGATGGGTCGAGCCGATCGCCCTTCTTGTGCAGCAGGCGCACCACGCCAACCTTCCAGCTCTGCGGCACACGCTTGGACTGCCAGCAGCGCGCGAACGCAGCATGCAGAGCGGGCAGAAGCTGGGCCGTGAACATCTTGAAGATGTCATAGCCGACAACATCCAAGGCAGGGCTTGAACCGCCACGCGCACGCTGCACCTGGTCCTCGATCTCATGCGAAGACGGCGCATCCGTGAGCAGCGCCATGTCAACTGTCGCAGGAGGCAGGCGGTCCATGGCCGTGCGGAACGGGGCTCCTACCGGCGCCATGGGGTCGAAGGCACCCACCGGGGTGTTCACCGCCGTGAAGAACTGGTGCAGGCGCACCCCTGGAATGGGGCAGGCGCCTTCGTCCAGCTCCACCAAGTCCGGCGGAGGCGCAGCGGTACCGACCGGCAGTTCCGTTGCCTCACGCTTGGACCGGGCCGTACACAGGATGCGCTCAACACACACCTTCTCCGTAGTATCGAAAAGGTGGCGGAGGCGTTGTTGCTCGAGAGAGGAGTTGATCCTCCCCACACGACGACGTTCCTTGGCAACAACCTTGCGGTTGCCCGGCTCGCTACGCTGGACAGCATGCATGGCGTCCAGAGCCTCGTCAAGCCGGTGCTCACGGTGATGACGTGTCACACGGGGCGGACGTGTGCGCCGGCGCCCCATGCCACCACCGGAGTGACCACGGCGACGACGTGAACGGCTGCCACCTTGGCGCTGACCGTCTGGAGTCACGGCCTGCGCCGGACCTTGGTGTGGCTTTGGTCGCCTGTCAGGACGCACGTCTGGATGGTGCAGCTGCGGGCGCTGGGAGTGAGGTTGGGCGGGGTGTTGTGTCTGGGAGTAAGGCTGCAGTTGATCGTACAGCGCATACGGGAGGGCTGTGATGTAGCCCTCCGCCTCCTCCCAGTCATCAGCGTCCGTTATCTTGGCAGCTAGCCTCGCTGCTAGCCGCTCCACCAACTTGCCCGCAGCCTCTTCCTCGTCTTCGTCCAGCTGCCGTAGGCGCAGTCGCGACCGGCGCTGAGGCACTGCATCAGGCCCCACACGCATCGCTGCATACACCTCGCCATCATCGATGTCCCCCATGTCATCATCATCTGCGGGGCTTGGGGGGACATCCGTGTCCACCGCGACATGCGGTGTGGCAGGCGGAGGGTGTAGCTGCGGGTGCAGGGGCCGTCGTGGAGGTGGAGGTGCATCCATGTCCATCGGTATGCACCCCACACTCCAACGTGGTCGTGCGGCGGTCAAGAGCGGCGTTGGCGAGGCGGTCGGCATGAACCATTCGCCTGCCTGTCGATGGGATGGAGCGTGGCCCGCTCCATCCGCGCCAGCTCCGCCTTGACCGCGATGCGCAGTTGCCTCAGGCGCTTGTTGCGTGTGGCGAAGATGCCACGCACCTGCTGGATGACAAGAGTGCTGTCACCCTCGATCCGCAGGCGCGTGACACCGTGGTCGGCGGCAGCCCGTGTGCCGAGCAGCAGCGCGGTGTACTCGGCCGTGTTGTTGGTTTCGCCGCTGCTCGGCATGTAGTGGGAACACGTCCACACTACGGGGCCGCTGGGCTTGAACAACGCAGCGCCGGCGCCGCCAGGGCCAGGGTTTTGCCCGGCAGGCACCGTCAAAGCGCAGCAGCCACTCGCCGTCCATGTCTCTGTCGTCGTTGACGTCCTCGTCGTCGCTGTCACCAGCCTTCGTCTCCTCCTCCTCCGTTAACTCTGGCGGGAGGAGACGGTCGGCAATCCTTGACACCACCACGCTGCGAGGCAGTGGTGGACCCCAACGTGGGGCGGGAACCTCGGAGAGGCGGGACGCAACGCGAGAAGCAACCAGCTGCCTTGGGAGCGGGGGCTCCATCTTGACTCTGTTGACCTGTCATGAGTGGTGCTCGACTGTGGGGGGGACACAGTGAGCACCGGAGGGTCTTGGCGGGGCAGCACGGGTTCGGTGTCGGCCACCGTAGCGGTGGCATTGACTGCACCAGCAGTGGGGCTGAGGTCCCCGGCTGCTGATGCGGTCGCAGCCGAAGTGTCGCGGAGGCTGGCACACGCGCGAGCGTGGTTAGCTGCAGCCAGCCTCGACACGAAAGGTGTGCCGCACGCACAACCTGCCGAGAACCGGTCGAGGAAGGCGATGCGGCGATGCCTTGAGTCCCGGTGGCGCTTGAGCGAAGCAAAGCTTGACGCCGTATATGCACACAGCGTGCACGTGAAGTGCGGCGCGTTGTGGGCATACACGGACAGGACGGAGGCCGGAAGTGCGCTGGCCGCGGATGGCCTAAGCGCTGAGTTCATGGGGCCGGCCTCAACGTCCTCGAGCAGCAGTTGCTCGGCTTGCTCGCGTTCCTCCCCGTCATCCTCGTCGTTCAAGCGGCGACGCTTGCCGTTGAGGCGGAGCACGAGAGGAGGAGACGGCGGAGTGAGGCTTGCTGCCTGCCACGTCGCGCCCTGATCCACCTCCATGGGGACGGCTGCGGTCGTGGCAGGAGCCTGTGCAGCACCCACGGGCAGCATGCTACCCGCCCTGCCGGGTGTGCAGTCATCATCATGGGGACAGGGCCCAGCAACAGCGGACGGCTCGTCGCCGCAAGGCATCGGAGCGTCGCACCCGACTCGGTCAGGCAGTATGGGAGCCTGCCTGCCGAGCCGGTCGTCACAGGTACGTGAGACATCAACAACATCATAAACAATTGCTGCAGTGGACACGGCCTCGCTGATGGTAGCGTACATGTCCGCGGGAGCGGCCGCGGCCACTGCAGTGTATCCAGCTCGGGCAGGCAGCTCCGTAGCTACATGCCCGAGCCGGTCGTCATCACTTGAGGGGGTGGCCACGTCGTCGTCCATCGAGGAGGCAGTGTCGTCGTCGGGGGCCCCGCCGTCGCTGCTTTCGCTATCCTCTGGGTCGCTGGGGCCTTGGAAGGCACCCAGTGCGCGAGCCGTTGCGGCTACGAGCGCGGACCCGAGCTGCACCCGGTCGGGCAGCATGCGTGCCGCCCTGCCGGGTGGAGGAGCAACAATCGCGGGGTCTCGAGCGGCGGCGGGGGCTTCCGGAGCGAGCGGGAGGGCGGGGGGACCCGTTGCGCACGCGTCTGGACCCGGGGGCTGCCTGTGGGCACCCGGGGAGCCGACGCTCTGTAGATGTCCATGCTGGACCCGGTCGGGCAGCATGCTTGCCGCCCTGACGGGCCCAACATCATCGCTTGCAGTGTCTTGGGCCGCTCCCACGTCTGGGAGGGCGCTCCGCAACGTGTAGATGCCCTTGGTGCACGTCTTGGTACCCGGGCGCCGCATGCTTGCGCCCGGGGAGCCGTCGCTCTGCAGTCCTTGTCCTTGTGTCGGCGATACCCGGTCGGGCAGCGTAACGCCCGCCCTGCCGGGTATGCCAACAATCGCATCTTCATCCTGCGAGGCCACGGCAGCGGCGGGAGCGTCCGACGAGGCGGGGGAAGCCAAACGGCGCGCGGAGGAGGCGGGAGGCGGTCTCGTGGCCTCTGCAAGGCCGGCGGAGACGACGCTATCTTGGCCCGAGGAGTCTTGATCGTTGTCTTGAATGGTGTCGTGAATAGCGGCGACCCCTATACTTAAACCAAGTATATTGTCGAAGGTACCTTCGGAGGTACCAACGGGGAATCGCCGGGCCTCTTCCCGGTCAATGATGGCACCCAAAATCGGGGCCGGAGACCGGGGGGCCTCGCGCGCGACAGAGACCTCTGTGCGCGCGGAAACTTGGTAGGCACTGGGCGATGCGGGATCCGAACCCGTGCCCGAAGTTGCGACGCCTAACTCCGCGTCATCGCCGCGAGGCGATGGCGCGCGTAGACGCACTCGGGGCCCATTTTGGGGCCCCGGAAGGGAATTATTGGAGGTACCAGTGTGTACCCCTACCCCTTGTCCGACGGCGACCGTTCCCAGGCAGTTTCGTCCCACCCGTTCCGCAAAGAAGGGTGACGAACTTTCTGGGAACAGTCTTAAATCAGACTGCCCCGCCTCTTCCCCAGTGACCAGTTGCGTGTCATCTGGGAGAGGGGGCATTTCGTCGTGTCCCACTCCAGTTTCGTCATCAGGCGACGCGTCATAGAAAGACGCATCGCTGGCGAGACTGGAGTGGCTGTCCGTAGAGCACTCACTATCGCTAGATAGAGAGCGCTCTCGAGGCTCCCAACCCGGCCACCAGAAGCGCATAGTGATGCGTTGGTGTAGAGCCGGTGCAGAAGACAGAAAGACGAAAAAATCGAACAAAATAGAACGAAGTAGAAAAGGAAAAGTGTATTGATTACGTATCGTTGGCCTCGCGAGGGTTAGGTGTAAGCCCCCGGAGACCGCCCCGTCCTAGTAGCAAGCTACTTCGACAGGATGTCCAAAAATGAATGTGAAAAAGACCGACAAAAGTCGGAAACCAGTTTTCACACTGATTAGAACAGATAAGGGTGTGTATTACCGTCTGGTTAGTCTATTTCTAAAGGGTATAGAAATACCCAATAGAAACTGTGTGGTGTGTAAGTTAGGTACAGGTTGCACCACACAGAGCTAAACTATAACGTACCAGAGGGATTTGAGGACGGTTCCCTACTTGGGTATGGCCCTGTCGGCCACTATGGGCCCGAACGACGCTTAGCGGCGGCCTCGATGGGACGGAGTCCCCCCGGTCTCCGTCACCCGACTGCCCCTTGCATCTTGTCTTGAGCGTCCATGTCTTCGGCCATGAACGTGGGCTTGACTTGGACCTTGAGCTTGATCGTGACCATTCTGTCGCTCGCGGTGCTGGCCGCAGTGCAAATTCCATATGCGGCGGCTGGACTTAATGCACTCAGCAGAAAGTTGCTTGTCCAGCCGCTTCGCATCACGCTTCAGCACACCAAGGTGATCGGTGTAAACCGCAAGGTTACCACCGGCGACTGCGCCAAGCGAACCATAGACGAGCGCTGAAAGGTGGACCGTCCAACCTTGACGCTCTAGGTGTCGCTTGATGCAGCCATACTTGGTGCGCTTAAGCTCAGCAATCCGCGCGAGCGACGACGTCCTTGGGTCGTCCGTGGCTTGGTCTTCAAACGCCACCGCAAGGTCTACAACCGACACCGAACGTGTGGTGTGGTTGTAGACCTGCAAGTCCGGTCGCAAAGCAGGCCCGGGGAGCGAGGGTACGGTTTGGTTAACCCTCAGCTCGACCCGGTCCTTCCGATCACCCGCCGACGACACAACAGCCCGCTCGATTATCTTCAAGGCGTCGTCGTGGCGGGTGCGAACTGCATCCATGGTGCCGGCACAGTGGTTCAGCACATGTGCCAGCGTCTCCGATCTTGAGCAGCCAGGCGATCTGCACTTGTCATGTGCCCGAAGACGCCGGCGCTTGAGGACACTGTGCGTGTCGAGCTGGTTGAGACGACCACCCACCGCGAAGCGGTAGTCGCTCTCCCAAAGCCCTCGGGGCCGCGAAAGGAAGGCGCTCCCAGCACCACCAAGGGTGCGAGCAGCCTTGCCTTGATCCGTCATCGCGGCCCATCGCTGCCAGTGCCTGGTCTTGAGGTGCAGCTTCACGTGCCGAAGGACATCCCTATGGTCCAACCAACCATCGTGGTGGGGCACGCGAAGCTGCAACCTTTGCGCCGGGGTCCCTGTCTCCTCCACCGCCGGAGCCATCTCGAACTTGAGGCCGAAGCGGTGAAGGTGACCACGGACGTCGAACCACAGCGACCCTATGTCCCCATTTCGACGCTTGGGCGGGGCTGGGTCCGACGTCCCCAGCTTGCTGTTGAGAAGGAGCTCGCCCAGCTCCTCCTCACGGTCCTTCCACACCAGAACGTCCAGCTTATAGCGGGCCTCTGCAATCTGACGGAGCTGCTGACGGGCTATGCGCTGGGTGGCAGGGTCAGAAGAGTGCAACATCAGCCACCCATGCGCCACCTGTAACGCACCATGCAGCTCCGTCAACGGCAGAAGCCCCAACCCTCCACGAGAAACAGGAGCGTAAAAGAACGCCGTCGTGGCGTTGGTCGGCAGCCGCAGCAGGTGGCGCAGGCCGCGAACAAGGTGGCGGTCGAAGCCCTCCAGCTGCTGGGCAAACGGGCGCAGGTGCCGGAGGGCGTACTCGACGCGAGGGTACAGATATACCTTGACCGCCTTGATCACCTGCCACGGCGCCAGACCGGACTGCAGCAGGGCCGTCGCATCATGCTTGAGCTGGGTGAGAGCTGGACCCAGCTCAATGCGACGGCGCACATGGTCGAAGCCATCCCCAATCCCCAAGTACTGGTAGGAGTCAGCAGCACTGAGCGCGGGGATTGGGGTGCCGTCCAGCTGCAGTCCGAGGTCGCTGGTCCTGTGGAGGCCGCGGGTATCCCGCTGGACTGACATGGTGCTGCACTTCATCGGGTTGGCCTTCATGCCAGTCCAGCGCAGGAAGTCTTGCACCACTGCATGCTGTCGCTTGATGCCGTCCACGGTGCTGCTAAAGGCCTTCAAGTCGTCCGCGTAAGCAGCAGCACCGGGACGGTCTTCGCTTGACAGCTTCACGCCAGTGTCTGGCAGCAACCGGAGCGCGTGGAGCAGCGGAGCGATCGCGGCGGTGAAGAGGTGCGGGCTGAGTGGGCAGCCTTGGAACACCCCCACCTTCAACGCGATCGGCGCCGTGGTCCCATCCACAGCGTTACCAATCGTGAACGCAGCGTCTGCGTAGAGACCACGGCAACAAGCGACAAACTCGGGCGGAACACCCTGCCGTTGTAGCGCTGCCCATAACAAGTCGTGTGGCACGCTACCAAAAGCGTTGGCAAAGTCGTACCACACGACATGCAACTCCTGATGCTTGCGCCGGGCTTGGTCGACGAGCGTGGCTGCGAGGAAGTTGTGCTCCCCACAGCCGTTCATGGCTCGGAAGCCCTTCTGCGCAGCGGCGTGGCGGCCGTTGACGTCCAGCCAGCGCGTAAAGCGACGCGACAGGACACCAGCGTACAACTTGTAGATGGCCTGCTGCAAGCAGATCGGCCGCCAATTGGATGGGTCGGACCGATCGCCCTTCTTGTGCAGCAGGCGCACCACGCCAACCTTCCAGCTCTGCGGCACACGCTTGGACTGCCAGCAGCGCGCGAACGCAGCATGCAGAGCGGGCAGAAGCTGGGCCGTGAACGTCTTGAAGATGTCGTAGCCTACACCGTCCAAACCGGGGCTTGAGCTGCCACGCGCACGCTGCACTTGGTCCTCGATCTCATCAACGGACGGCGCATCCGTGAGCAGCGCCATGTCAACTGTCGCAGGAGGCAGGCGGTCCATGGCCGTGCGGAACGGGGCTCCTACCGGCGCCATGGGGTCGAAGGCACCCACCGGGGTGTTCACCGCCGTGAAGAACTGGTGCAGGCGCACCCCTGGAATGGGGCAGGTGCCTTCGTCCAGCTCCACCAAGTCCGGCGGAGGCGCAGCGGTACCGACCGGCAGTTCCGTTGCCTCACGCTTGGACCGGGCCGTACACAGGATGCGCTCAACACACACCTTCTCCGTAGTATCGAAGAGGTGGCGGAGGCGTTGTTGCTCGAGAGAGGAGTTGATCCTCCCCACACGACGACGTGCCTTGGCCACAGCCTTGCGGTCGCCCGGCACGCGTTGCTGAACAGCATGCATAGCGTCCAGAGCCTCGTCAAGCCGGTGCTCACGGTGATGACGTGTCACACGGGGCGGGCGCGTGCGCCGGTGCCCCTTGCCACCACCAGAGCGACCACGGCGACGACGTGAATGGCTGCCACCTTGGCGCTGACCGTCCTGTGGCACGGCCTGCTCATGGCCTTGGAGTGGCTCCTGTCGCCGGCCAGTACGCACGGCTTGCTGCGGGAGCCGCGAGCAAGATTGGGCGGGGTGCTGTGCCTGGGAGTATGGCTGCAGTTGGTCGTACAGCGCATGCGGAAGGGCTGTGATGTAGCCCTCCGCCTCCTCCCAGTCAGCAGCGTCCGTGATCTTGGCAGCCAGCTTCGCAGCCAGCCGCTCCACCAGCTCTCCCGCAGCCTCTTGCTCGTCCTCGTCCAACTGGCGAAGGCGTAAGCGGGACCGACGCTGAGGCACTGTATCCGGCCCCACACTCATCGCTGCATACACCTCGCCATCGTCGATGTCCCCCATGTTGTCGTCATCGACGGGGCTTGGGGGGACATCCGTGTCCACCGCGACATGCGGTGTGGCAGGCGGGGGTGTAGCTGCGGGTGCAGGGGCCAGAGTGGAGGTGGAGGTGCATCCATGTCCATCGGTATGCACCCCGCACTCCAACTCGGTCGCGCGGCGGTCAAGAGCGGCGTTGGCGAGGCGGTCGGCATGACCATTCGCCTGCCTGTCGATGGGATGGAGCGTGGCCCGCTCCATCCGCGCCAGCTCTGCCTTGACTGCGAGTCGCAGCTGGCGAAGGCGCTTGTTGCACGTGGCGAAGATGCCACGCACCTGCTGGATGACGAGGGTACTGTCCCCCTCTATCCGCAAATGCGTGACGCCATGATCGGCGGCAGCCCTTGCACCGAGCAGCAGCGCGGTATATTCTGCCGTGTTGTTGGTCTCGCTGCTGCTCGGCATGTAGTGGGAGCAAGTCCACACTACGGGGCCGCTGGGCTTGAACAACGCAGCGCCGGCGCCGCCTGGGCCAGGGTTCTTGCGGCAGGCACCGTCGAAGCGCAGCAGCCACTCGCCATCACCCTCTGTAGCTTCGTCCTCGTCGTCGCTGTCGCCTGCCTTCGTCTCTTCCTCCTCCGTCAGCTCCGGCGGGAGCAGACGGTCAGCGATCCTCGACACCACCACGCTGCGAGGCAGTGGTGGACCCCATCGTGGGGCAGGAACAGCGGAGAGGCGAGACGCGACACGCGAAGCAACCACCTGCCGAGGAAGCGGAGCGCTCCATCGTGATGCCTTGGTCCTGTCATCAGTGGTGCTCGCATGCGGGGGGGACACAGCGAGCACCGGAGGGTCTTGGCGGGGCAATACGGGATTGGCTGTAGCCACCGTAGCGCTGGCATTGACTTCACCAGCAGTGGGGCTGAGATCCCCTGCTGCTGGCGTAGTCGCAGCCGAAGTGTCGTTGAGACTGGCGCACGCTGGCGCGTGGTTTGCTGCAGCCAGCCTCGACACGAAAGGTGTGCCGCATGCACAACCTGCCGAGAACCGGTCGAGGAAGGCGATGCGGCGGTGCCTTGAGTCCCTATGGCGCTTTAGCGAGGCAAAGCTTGATGCCGTGTATGCACACAGCGTGCACGTGAAGTGCGGCGCGTTGTGGGCATACACGGACAGGACGGAGGCCGGAAGTGCGCTGGCCGCGGATGGCCTAAGCGCTGAGTTCATGGGGCCGGCCTCAACGTCCTCGAGCAGCAGTTGCTCGGCTTGCTCGCGTTCATCGCCGTCATCCTCGTCGTTCAAGCGGCGACGCTTGCCGTTGAGGCGGAGCACGAGAGGAGGAGACGGCGGAGTGAGGCTTGCTGCCTGCCACGTCGCGCCCTGGTCCACCTCCATGGGGACGGCTGCGGTCGTGGCAGGAGCCTGTGCAGCACCCACGGGCAGCATGATACCCGCCCTGCCGGGTGTGCAGTCATCATCAAGGGGACAGGGCCCAGCAACAGCGGACGGCTCGTCGCCGCAAGGCATCGGGGCGTCACACCCGACTCGGTCAGGCAGTATGGTAGCCTGCCTGCCGAGCCGGTCGTCACAGGTACGTGGGACATAAACAATTGCTGCAGTGGACACGGCCTCGCTGGAGGTATCGTGGCAGCCCATGGTGTGGGCCGCGGCCACTGCAGTGTATCCAGCTCGGGCAGGCAGCTCGGTAGCTACCTGGGCGAGCCGGTCGTCATCACTTGGAGCGTCGTAGTCAGCGTCGTCACCCACCAGCCAAGCCCCTTGGTCATCCATGCTATCGTCCTCGCTGCTGCTGTCGTCCTCAGGGCCTCCAGGGCCATGAAAGGCACCTAGGGCGTTGGCCGTATAGACGGCCAGCGCGCGCCCGTTGGTGCCCCGGTCGGGCAGCATTTCAGCCGCCCTGCCGGGTCTAGCAGCAACAATCGCGGAGGCAGGAGCAGCGTCTGGGGCCTGGCCGGCGAGTGGGAGGGCGGGGGGAGCCATGGCGCGCGTCGTTGTACCCGGGCAGGGCGTCTGTGGGCCCGGGGAGCCGATGCTCTGAAGTAGTCCATGCTGGACCCGGTCAGGCAGCATGCCGCTCACCCTGCCGGGCCCAGAATCATCATTCGCAGTGTCTTGGGCCTCTCCCACGTCTGGGAGGGCGCTCACCAAAGCATAGGTGTCCTTGGTGCACGTCCTAGAACCCGGGTGCTGCCTGCACGCACCCAGGGAGCCGTCGCTCTGTAGTCCTTGCGTATTCCGTGGCGCTACCCCATCGGGCAGCGTTTCGCCCGCTCTGCCGGGTCGGAAATCAAACGCACTCGTGTCTTGGGCGGCGGCGGCGGGCGCAGCAGCAAGCAGGGGGTCTTGGGAAGCCATACGGCGCGCGAGGGAAGCCGATGGTGGTCTTGGGGCCCCATGGGGGCCGGCACACTCAGTGCAGTCTTGAGTCGTAGCCAGTGGCGCGTGGTCTTCATCGTGTTGTCGAGCGACGGCGACCCCTATACTTAGACCAAGTATAGGCCCGAAGGTACCTTCACGGTTACCAACAGGGGGTCGCCGGGCCTCTTCCCGGTCTTCAACGGTACCCAAAACCGGGACCGTAGACCGGGGGGCCTCGCGCGCGCCAGAGGTGTCGGCACGCGCTGAAACTGCGCAGGCCAGAGGCGAAGCGTGTTCGCAACACGTGCCCGAAGTGGCGGCGCCCAACTCCGCGTCACCGCCGCGAGGCGGTGTCGCGCGTACACCCACGCAGGGCCCATTACCGGGCGGCGTAGCGGTGACATTGGGGGTAAAATTTGGGACCCCCAACCCTAGTCCGACGGCGACTGTTCCTGGGCAGTTTCGTCCAACCGCCTGTGGATAGGCGGTCGAAGAGCCGTCTGGGAACAGTCTTAATTCAGACTGTCCCGCCTCTTCCCATGGGACCGGTTGCGTGTCACCTGGGAGAGGGGGCGGTTCGTCACCCACTCCAGTCTCGTCATCAGGCGACGCGTCATAGAAAGATGCATCGCTGGCGAGACTGGAATGGCTGTCCGTAGAGCACTCACTATCGCTAGATAGAGAGCGCTCTCGAGGCTCCCAACCCGGCCACCAAAACCGCATAGAAGGGGCGATAGTGGAAAGGCCAGGGCAGAAAGGACAGATAGACAAACGGTACAGAACGAACTAAGATAGAACGAACGAAAGTAGAAAAGAAGCAAGTTTATTGTAGTCGGCCTCACGAGGGTTAGGTGTAAGCCACTCGGAGACCTTCCTAAAATAGTATCGCTACTATGTCAGGACGTCCAAAAATGAATGTGAAAAAGACCGACAAAAGTCGGAAACCAGTTTTCACACTGATTAGAACAGATACTACACTTGATCTTAGCTAAAAAGCCGAGAAGGTATGAATCTCAGTCAAAAATCGGGGAGCGCTTATACACTTAAACGTACCTGCACGAACAAAGAGATTTAATTGCTAGTTTTTTTTTAAGAATTGTTTGCAGCACACAGAATGAGGCTATTATTCACTGTTCGCAATATAATTACTGCAAAAGATGATTAAGTACGCGATCGGTCGTGTAGGCTACATGTCTCATTTAGAGTTTTTCAAGATGTAATCACTGGCATAGTGTATGGAAGAGAGTATGCGGAAATGATGGACTTAAGGGTCGATAAGCCGGACGGACATGGGACCTCGCGGTCGATAAAGGGAATAGAGACTCAGGGGTCCCAGGTAAAGAGCGGCAGTTGGGTCCAAACGTGACGAGCAGTTAAAGTTGCTGCTAACGGGGTCAAACCGACCGACGGTACCAGTTAAACGGTACTGATATGGATCGTTCTCAACCACTCGTTGGTCGGCCTGGTGTCTCAAATGTCTACTTGGCCTTATAAGTTCCGGCGGCTCCTGGCCTCTTTACATCGCAAACACATGCGCAAGGCAAGATAGACTAAAGGAGCTTGAAGGTTTGGATGTAATTAAAGACAATTTAGTTGGCGATCTTAGTAGTACGACGTGTCGTAAGCTAAAAAAACATGTAAGTCTACCGACTTGTTCCGGGCCAGATATCTATTTGGCCCACCCGTCGAATAGACAGTTGTAAGTAAGACCTAATTGTAAGCAGGATCCCAGAAAGTGTGTTGGTCTAAGAGTTCGTAGAGTAGCACCCCCCCCCAACTCAAAACCGCTACAGATAGTGGTCTCCATACCTTAGTGGTAGAGGAGAAGAAATGTAAAGCCAGGCGGTTAACACCTCTGAGACAAGTAAAGGCCAGGCGCTACCAGCACCTGGGACAACTGGTTAAAGGACCGCTCTCGACCAAGTCGATCGAGTAGCCGGCTAATTTGGACCCCGACTGAAACATACCCGCTTGAGGCCATTAAGGTCGACCTCCATCAAGGCCGACGTCTACATTACCACCAAGTCCTACTTAAAGTGCAACTTGCCAGTTAACGGGTACACAAGGAAAGCCAAGGTCCACAAGCGGCATTGGGGTTCCCCCTCCGACAGTCGGCAGTCCGGTACGGTGAGTGGTTTGGATTCCCATCAAAAAGTTGTGGCAAGCCAATCCACCAAAATAGTACACATATAAAGGAAAAGTCAGCACAGTGAAGTGTACAGAAATGAGTGGAGTGGAGGAAACGGAGATGGTCGGTTGTGGGCGACCAGCTCGAAAGGAGAAGTTGTAGTTATATGATTTTATTTTTGCTGTGACCACTTAGGTACAAGAAATCCTAAAAACAGTTTAACCGCTTACAAACTTATCAGGTTACGAGCCCAACCAAGTTCAGTATATTAACAAGTTCGACGGCACGACATATCTGATATGAGGCTTCAAGATGAAGATGTACCTGCGGTCGGTAGGACTGTGTAGGCAAGTGGACGGAGTTTCTCAGCACGATCTATTCCCTAGCAGCAAGTGCATGCGGCGATTAATCTCAGCCTTTTCTACGCGCACGGGATTCGTGTAGTGTCAACGACGAGTACTGAGGAGGTGTGAACGGTAATTAAGCGACTGAAAATATGGGTCGCGGGACATGGAAGGTCGCGCTTTGCTAAAAATAAATGTTCAAGACGTTTTGTTTTGCGGCTGATACTACGTAGTAATGCTTCAAAGAATTGAAAGCGCTTAACCTGCGGTTGGGAAGCTCTGGTTGTCGTCAGAATGAAGAGGAAGTTGATGCGATGCTGTTGAGTAGTCTTCCTTTGCCGTTTGACGTTCTTATGCAGGCGTTATATGAAAGTTTAATAAGTTTACGTGTGGAGATGAGATGAGTTGGGTGTTGGCGGAATGTATTCTACGGAAGGATTGAGGCCACATCGAGGAAAAAACAGCGATGCTGGGTGGAAAGGCAGATAAGACAACAAGAAAAGATAATTGAAAAAAGCATTGTACGTCCTACAAATGCTAAAAGTGTGGATATTTTAAGCGTGTGTGCCCTAATGCAATAGACGAAGCGTTATACGAGTCATGTGTATCGATGTAGCTTCAGGCCATCCATGGAGGAGTGTGCCGTTAGTAGGTGCTTGACAGCGGAGCGTCAAACTAAATGTGTGCTTCGAAGGACGCATTTGTATAGTTCCGTTCTAATCATGGTGGTTGCACGGTGTCAATTAGCAATTTGGGTACGACTATGCGTGTACTTGGCACGGGCACAGTCTTGCTGCACACGAGCGTTGGTGTGCGAGTTGTGAGTGCACGAATTAAAAATGCGCTGCACGTGGAAAACTGGAATCGCAATTTGATCTCCATCCCAGCACTTCAATCCTAAGCGATATGTATGAACATGTACGGTAATGGGTGTGTAATAGTGCGCAATGGTTTGATCGCTTGCAGTGGAACGAAGCAGGAAAACCTAATCATTTTTTTTATGTACTCGATTACGTAGATTATATCGTCCCAGGTGGTACCATTTATAAGGTTTGTAACGTGTGCGAGATGTCCAAGCATGCGAGCAAGTCTTCCTCTGGACCTGATGTTCACTTTGACTAAAAACCGTTTTCGTTTGTTCGGACTTTAATGAATTAAGCACACTGTTTTCACGCTCAAGTTGCGCGTATGCGGTCATTTTCATCATGATGAAGACTCAGTTTGTGAAGGTTTACCCGACAGTGTGTAAGTTGGAAGTTCTTGCTAACTTTAATTAGTTCTAATAGCATTTGATAGGTCAAGCGGTGGTCAATGGGTGTGCAATCAGGAGAGACGATGGCGGTACATATGAATCACACGGCATGAAGAATTTCTGCATTTCAACAAAAATACGTCAGTTGATCAAGATCCCGCACCATTCGCAGCAGAATGGGATTGCCGAGCGAGCTAATCGAACACTGGTTATTATGGCAAAGTGGATGCTGATGGACAGTGGTTTAAGCAATTCGTTTTAGGTGAGGTGATTGTCATAGCATCATACATCCAAAATACCATTATTACGTCTATTCGACCTCATGCAACGCTGTACAAGAAAAAGATTAAGCGTCACATTTAATGCCGAAGTTTGTGTGCGTTTGGCAGCATGTGCTACGCACACGTACCAAAGATAAAGCTTAGAAGCTCGACGATAGCATTGTTCGGTGCTGCATGCTTAAGTACCTTGAGACTTTAAATGGGCAGCGACTTTTAAACCTCGGGACAAGAATTATCGTGCATTCCCGCAGCGTTTCTTTCGATGAGTCTAGGTCAATCAAGCTGTTTGACGATAAAATTGGATATGGTTGATGTGTTATATTATGTTCATCTCTTGTCGATGTCTCCCATCCCGCACATGACGCACCGTGTGTCAGAAACTTAGAACGTAACATGGGTGCGATCAGATTACCTTAAAGGCCTTTGGCAAGTCGCATCTCATGCAGAGATCAAAGCATGGCTTATGGTCAAGGTCCGACTGATGAAGCAGTTGTGCTTGTCAAAGAACCGTCTTGTGGAATTGCTGATATTGTGTTGAGAGACACAAGAGAGGCAATGTCATCACCATCGGCTGGACGTTTTTTTACATCGCGAGCGTTTCATCTGGTAACTTGAGTTGCTACAATTGAAATTAGCGACTTGTAAGGCCATCACAGAACTAATGTGGAGATTTGCGGTATGAAGAAGAGTTAAGTGAAATGCGTCCGGATGAGGGTAATTGTGATGACAACGAAGACTATATGTAAGGACTATATTGCCACCCAACAGATTTCAACAAAGAGAAGCATTCGACACATGCTGGAATACTAAGCTCAAAAAAGCGAAAACGGTGGAAGATGGCAATCGAAGGAGAGATGAAGGCTCTTTATCAACACCACACTTGAGATCTGGTCGCCCTGCCAGCTGGTACGAAAATGATTGATATAAGATGGCTCCTTAAAGCTAAACAAAATGACGAAGTCAGCCTCAACAAGTTCAAGAATCGCCTTTTTGCTCAGATTGTGCGCATAAATTTTCGTGGACTTCAACGAGACATTTGCACCAGTGTCCAAGCCCTCAACTGTTAAAGTAGTGCTTGCGATTGCTCCAAATACGAACCTGGAAGCAGATCAATTCATAGTGTTACCGCTTTCTTTTGTGCACCAGCTGAAAGTGAGCTGTATATCAAGCAGCCAAAGGGTTCGAGAGCGTCGACTATCTAAATAGTGTAAACCTCCTGTTCAGAAATTTGAACGGCACAAAGCAAGCAGCGATGCGGTGAACGAGACATGTTCATCGAATTCTATCGTAGTAATAATTTTTTCACGCCAATCTAAACCCATGTATGTACACTCGAATCAAGAACGACGAGAATTCACTGGTTTCGTGCACGTGGACGACATAATTGTGGTGAGCATGGACTCATTTAATTTAAGCAAGATTTTCGATACGCTTCTGACAAATTCAGCATCAAGTAGTTTAATAAAGCTCGGTTTACGCCCATGATTCTAGTGAATCTTTATTGAATCTCCTGGACGGTTACGTTTTCAAAAAAAAACCACACTATGCAGCTCGCTGAGCGATTTCGCAGGAAGGACACAAAGCCAGTAAATCTTCTAGTAGTCGCAAATTCGCTACTCAAGTGCGCTACGGACGATCCGTTGTGCATTATGAATGTCCTATATCGTGAGCTATTTGAGAGAATGATGTACATTGTGACACGTACACGGACAAGCATA